ACAAGATCTCGGCAATTTCCTTTTGTCGAGCTGCTACAGCCTTTTGCAATGGTGTCCGATGCCGAGTCGTTCCATTTGGACTGACCCCAAGTTTCAGAAGTAGCTGCACCATCTGTGATACTCGCGGCCAGGCGCAGGGGCCATCCAGGACGCTGAGCAACAATCGTCTACCCTGGTCAGGTGTGAGAGAAGCGTTGAGATGAGCAAACAGCCACCGCACCGCTGCAAAACGTGTGAAGCAAACAGCCAGCTGCAAAGGCTTCAGGAGATCATTCAATACCCGGGGATACCGCTCCACAAAGAACTCCATCAGTTCTACATCGCCCCTGCGCGCCAACTTCTTGAACGCTTGCTTGCATGAAGAAGACGGCTTAGCGGGGTCAACATGGTTCTCTTGATGATGGTGCTCAAGCCATACTCCCAGCGCGTCTTTATTTCGACTTATCGCAGCCATGGTCAAAGCACTCATGGGGATGCTATAGATAATGGTGTACCACATGGAACATCCATGCTCCACCATAGTTTTTGCGATCTCTCTGTTCCCTCTTTGTGCTGCGACATCCATTGGAATGACTCCAAATCGTAGACATATCTGTTCTGGGTCCAGCCCGTCCCGTAGTGCTGTGCTCAGTTCTGCACAATCCCCCCGTAAGATGGCCATGCAGGCCAAGATGATCGGCACCGACTTTTCGATTGGCTCACTGAACCTGTTATTCACTTTATCAATCCAATATTGACATACTAGGGGATGGAACATCGTCGATGGATCGTTTTTCCCCGCTATTGCAACATCAATCAAACTCTCAGTCAATTTAATCTTCTCCTCCTCTGCAGGAGCATCCCCCAACTGATACTCTATCACCTCCTGCACAAAACACGTAAAAGCACATTGCTTTTGCGGATGCTCCCGTAGCTTTCGATACAGATAAAGCCGCTTCAATCGATCCGGGAAAGTACCCCATGGCGATGAATCTAGATCCGACCTGGTTAGGAATGTAAATAAATCCTCCAGGTCCTTGCCATTCAAGAGAAAAGTAATGATTTCTTCATCAAATAAGCCTGCTTTCCTGTTAGTTCTCATATTTGAAGTGAATGATTGGTTATCACACACTGTTCACTTTTCTCGCACGCAACAATTCTGGCAGATGCAATTGAGGTAGAAGATGCTGGATAATCAGGCGGAGTATTTCGGTGGGAAGGGTCATTTTTGGATTCGTTTTATCTCACTATTATAATGACTTCTGGGACTTTCTCGTGGATTTCTGGTGTCGGGTGTACGGACTGAGATTCCTGTGCGAGATAAAGCAGTTAGTAGCAGTAACTATATCAGGTATCGGGCTGACATTGGGGCCGAATGGTCCGCAGTAATTGCTACTGCTCAGCCACAACAGCAAAGTAGCTGGGCGGCTACTACTAGTTGATGCTGCTTAATTCTGACTCTTGATGAACAGTATTCAGGTTAGTTATTGGTTCATTATTAAATGCATCGTGACAGTGGCCATGTTCTGAGTAAGGCTGAACCTCTAGGAGACCATAGATACAGATCAGCTGATGCTATACAACTACAAACAATCATCCATCTATCTACGCAGCCATAGCAAATATTAAAAAAAAGGCACAATTACTTTTTTCTAACAAACTTCCCCTATATGCCAATCACAGCCACCCCGCCCTCCTAACAACCCAACTCCCACCCCCAACCAACCCCGTCACCCCCGTGAAGACAATCAAACTCCCATACCCGGTCCCAAACCCAAACCCCAACTCTCCAGCCCATGGCATCCCCTCCAATAACGCCTCACTCAACGGGCCTGAAACAATATTCCCGACGCCCCTACCAGCCGCCAAACAAGCAAACACCATACTCGACTCGGCGGCACCATCCTTCCTGACCACCTCCCTCATGATCCCGGGCCAAGTACTCGTATACGAGCCCGCAAACAGCCCATACACGATAGCGAACACAAACAGCGGACCCAGCGAGACGCTAAATCCCCAGATGAGAAACACACCTATCGTTGATCCCACAGTCGAGACCAGAATGCAGGTCGTCACGTCCCATCGGTCGATAATGGCGCCCATGACTACGCACCCTACTACAGACGCAACGTTGAATAATATCACTGTGAGAGCTTCCAAGCTTCCTGATGGAACGCCGATGGCTCTTGCGTACGAGGGAAGGTAGATAGACGGGAGGAAGTACCCCACTGCTTCGATCATGTTGAACAGCTCAAAGAGGAGGAATGTTCCTGAAGTCCAGAGGAATCGGATTTCCTTGAGTCGCGGCCTTGGTGCTTGCTGCTGTACTACGCCGTCCACTCCGGTACTCCGCAGTGCAGGCGGCACTCTAGGCTTGACGAACCATACCAACGGGGCCGTAAGCACGAATAACACAACTGCGAACCCTCTTAACGCTATCCGGAACCCGTATCGATCGAGTAGCGTTTCCATAACGATGGGGAGGACCGCGCCGCCTAAACCGGTGCCGGCCCACATGACGCCGAAGGCAAAGCCCCGGCGTTGGTCGAACCAGTCTTCCATTAGGAGGATGCATGGCGAGTAGGCGACGCTTCCGCCGATGGCGTAGAAGATGCCTTGGGAGATGATCAGGTGAGTGGTGGTTGTGGACAGGGAGGAGAGGCCCAGAGAGAGACACATTGTTAGGACACCGAGGGCGCAGCCCAGACGCTGATAATGAGGGTAGGTGCGGTATAGGGTGAAGATTATGGGGAGGTCGAGATACATTATTCCCTGGAGTTTAGAAATTGGTGTTAGTTTTGGGGAGGGGAAGGGGAGGGATGGAAAGGCTTACCATGGCGCATGTTCCGATGATGGCAATGTTATTGGAGTTCTGGAACATGGGCAGTGTGCTGTAATAGTCTTGGAAGACACCGTAGGTGAAGGCGAACCCCCAGACTAGGGCTTCCATGACGAAGCAGGCGGCCAGAAAGAACCAGGCATCTTTACCGTGGTCGATGGGTGGGAGGGCGAGTGAGGGGAAGGTGCCGTTTGTATTATGGGGTTTTTCGTTAGGAATCACCTCCTCGTCTGAAAATCTGACCATGGTGGATGGTATGCTAGAGGGAATATGATGTCGAGAATGATGGATGAAGAGCGAAACTCTATATCATAGATCTGTTTAGATAGCATGTACAAACGCAGCTATGCAGACTCTCTTTTAGTAATAATAATGAACAGATAGGCTCTGTAAAATACTTATCATCCCTCACCCCCAGCAAATGAATGGAATGATCAGCAACAGAAAAGTCCATCTTATATTGGTCAACTATGAGGAATCGCGCTTAGACCATGTCCGCAACGCCCTGTCATTGACATGGTCCCGTTCACAGCCCCCATTGGTGGAGTTGATGCTAGCGTCTTTTGCTTTTTTGGCTCCTTTTGCGTGATATTAGCCGCGCTATAGCTCATAGCTCAGTACAGATATAGACAGCCGAGCGTAGTACTACAAAGAGATTATTCCAACGTCAAGCTATGCGGCTCGTATAGAGTGCTGGATGTGAAGAGTGCCCTAGTTCTTATTCACCTGGAAATTGGAGACTTTGTATGAAATCGATCTTCGAATATCATGGTTGCATGAAAATGACGAGTCACATATTCTTGCAGATATAACTAGTGATTGACATAGTTCATTGAGAGGGTCTAACATTTTAATATAAAAGGCCATTACGCCTACAATTCAATGAGGTCATCATATCTCCCATTGAAGGTAGGTTGTTCTAGACAAGGATTAATACACTACAAGTGCTCCTTGAACCATTGAACAGCCTGCAAGAAAGCGTTCTCCTTAGCATACTGCACCGTCCGGTTGGCAGGGTCTCCCCGGACAGCAAAGCCGTGCGCCACACCGCTATAGAGGTTAAGCTGGTAAGGGAGGCCCAAGGCCTTGAGGATCTCTTCAGATTCATGGCGCTTTTCGGCGGGGAAGATTGCATCCGTTTCCGCGGCAGCAATAGCCAGAGGGCCCTTGATGGCTTTCAGTTCCTCCGACTCGACGAAGGAAGGGTGGGCGGTATATCCAGCATCGATCTGGCCGGGGCGCAAATGGCGCACAACGTACTTTCCACCGAAGCAGTAGCCGACGGCACCGATTTTCTGATAGATGTTAGATTTCATTTCTAGTTACCCAACTCATCAGTGGAAGTCATACCTTGCATCCATACTTAGTTCTCATCTCCTTGATGCATGCTTCGATAATGGGGTCGACGACCTCGGGAGTATGGGGCTTCTTGTCCTTGTGGTATGCACCACCCTTCCATGCCATGAGATCGAAACCTTCGGGGCGGTTGAGCGGGATGGCGTCGTTGTCGAAGAGGTCAGGCATCATGACGAAGTAGCCATTGGCGGCAAACTGGTCGGCAATGAGCTGAGCGTTGATGAAGCGGTGGCCGATCACGTCCGTAATACTTCCTGTTGTTAGTTCGATCTGCTTTGGATATAATTGAAGGCAGAACATACACCAAGACACCATTCTCGGTGGACTTGTCAGCAGGAGAGCTGGTGTAGATCTCGAAATCATTGAGCTGCGAGAAGCTACCCTTGGCTTCACCTTCGTGCTTGACGCCTTGGTAACAGCAGCTTCCGGCGGGGAGGGATGCCATGATTGTTTATCAACGATGTGTATTGTAAGCTGATTGAGGCTTGAATGATTGAGATATGAAAGAGGACAGCAAAGCTGACAGAAGGGAAGAGGGGAAGGGGACTAAATAGCGGGGCATGAGCTGCCACCTCCGACACACTCGGAGCTATCCGTTATTTCCGATATGATGTCTTCCATGGTTGAGCTAGCTTCTCTCAGCTTAGATCGATGGTAAGATTTTAATCCAACGTAAACTAACTACATTGACTGCGATTATATCGGCAGGTTGCAAGCGGAGCTGCTCATCGGCATGCCGTCCGCATCGTATATTACCGAGGCTTTGTGCGCAACAACGCATACGATGCAAGTGAGCGAGAAACACACAACTCCGGTTTCGATAGATTGTCACCAAAAGAGAGGTCGGGTCACTGCGATTCGCCTTGATTGTGGCCACACTTAGCGTGCAACTTAAAGCCATGCGGACTTCAACGATGGAACCTAGTGAAGGCAAGCTCAAATATCTTTAAACGTCGCCAAATATACTACTCGGTGCGCAGATGCTGGAGAGAGGATAAATTGGGAATACGATTGCATAGTCTGACTTGAGTATCATGTTATTTTGGCCTCGCCATTAACAATACATGATCAGTATCTCCGACCCAGTCTTATCCTGATGTTGTATAATGCTTTTTTTATTTTTGGCATTTCTCTGGGCTTACTGTAGGCTCCGCCCAGCGTGCGGCATACTAATAGGACTTGCCCATCACCTGTTGCAGTGACCAATAGCATTGGCCACTGGTTCAGCGGGTCTTTCATGAGCGAGGTCACCGGAGCTTGGTCAACTTCCAGACATGTGCTTGATGGTAAATTGGATTAAATGGACGGCTTCGTGCATGTCCTGGGACCGAGTTTCTTTTGCCCTGTGACGACGAGTGGAATACTGGTTCCTGCGTACTCCGTAGTGCGTGCTGAATCATCAGGCTGCTCATAAGTTGGCCGACGATATGGGTGAGACGGGAATGTTGCGCAACCCCAAAATAGTACATGCAGGTACACAGACGTCTTGCAGCACATCTGTGATATGTAAACCGATCTTCAAGCTATAAATACTCTGGACCAGGTCTATAGACATATCAATGTAGAACCCCAAAGAGAGCACAGACGCCTGAAACGCCAGAGGCTACCAAACCTTTCCTGGAGTTCATAATAGGAGCTAGCTCATACATACTTACAGTTGAGCTGACTCTGGCTGCGATATAGGCCGACCTCTATTCTATTTCTGGCAAGAAGAACCAAGCTGAGAGGGAAGGATAGGGATCATCGCATTAGTGGCCGCTCTCGTAAGTGACATGCATAATCGCGATGGGCTAAACGGTAAGTTTGCGATCTTCTGAGGCTTGCTTTGCTAGAATTTGACATGTAAATATCAATAGCTGGAGTGGTGTACCAAACTTGGCCTGTTTGGGAGTCTTTATTGGTCACTTCCTATGCGGGTATCTCTAATTGGCACATCAGGGAAAAAGCAACTGGATGTGATTTGAAGGCATCGAAAGACGCGGACGTTGAAACTGACAGATACGGAGATCCGCGTGGGAATATCTCGTGAGGAGATAGTAATTTAATACTCAATACAGTAGGTATGACCATGGCAGTCCCAATGTTTCAGTAGATAGAATAGAGACGGCGTCGTGCAACGACAAGAAGTATGAATGGATGGATGGATGGATGGATGGGACTCGGATCTGCAATAAGAGAGAGACGAGTGGCCGGGTGGCAATAAAGAGGGGCGGGGGGTGGCAGCAAGGCAACAAAGACCCAAAACAGGGGCTGATCCGCTCTCACGTGATCGTATAATTTCCCATTGGTTGCGGCTCCGTCCTTGAGGATGGGACGGGATTCAGGGGCATCCAGGCAGAGTGGACGATGCAATTCCACTACCGCCCGACTAGTGAGGACGATGGAGCTGCACTATTTACCCTCCAAGGCAATCATGGAGCACCCGAACCACCCATGGATGAGTTTCAACTTACCCAAATTGACTATTCTTTGACACAGACCTGACACCCAGCACCCTCCATCCATCTATCCATCTGCTCCTCTTCCTTCGCCATCGCTTCCATCGCTTTTCTACGGCTGCTTCTATACCTGCGACAAGAAATTAAAGCCGCGGACGGCCCTGCATCCCACTTCGATCCCCCCCCCAGCGCTTGCCATCGTCATCCCCGCCGATCGTGCAGCCCCTGTCATTATCCATCCATCCCCATCGGACTCAATAACCCAAAAGTGGTCCCTCCCTACCTGGCTGGTCTCCAGTAGTGCGACGGTGTCTGCAATTTTGCCGATTTTCCCCTCCAGCCATCGCTCGAGTCCTCGCTGCCCCCTTTTATAGTTATTACTTAGATCCCGGCCGGTCCTGGTCTCCGTCATCAAAGCTTCTATACAATCAATCTTTTGAAATCTTCGGTGATTTTTGTTCCTCGCCTTGTCCACTCTTAATTACTCTGAGCGCAAGGACCACCCCATCCGTGCTATCATATCCACTTAATAACCCCCTGTTCCGTTCCTGACGCGCGCGCTTCTAAACTCCCTCCACGTCTTGGACTTCATTTCACATACTCCTTTTCCCCCCTTCCCAACCTTCTCGCATCCAACTTTACCCCCCCTTTCGTTTCGATCCTCCATACCAGTGCCCCATAATCAACGCCCTTGACAACCACCAAACAAAATGTCGGATATCGATCAGGAATGGAAGCCCAAGAACCGCCCACAGTCGTTCGTTCTCCTCTCTTGCGATCCTCTTCTCTCCCGAACGTTGGCGTTGACCAAGACGTGGCAGGACCATGGCACAAGCCTTCTCATCGGCGCTAGATAGTGCCTTTTCTCTTGATTCCGATGTCAATCACCTTTCACAGACCATCGATCAAAAGTAGGTTCCACTTGGGCTGTTGATGATTTGCGGTCTTCTCTCGCTTCTTAGCTTGTGTCGATGCGGCGAAACTGACGAGCCCTTCAACCATAGGAGACACCAAATGATGATCCAGGAGCGAGAATTGGAACAGCTTCAGGCTAGGATTCGAGAAGCTGAGGAACGCCTCAAAGCTCGACAGTCTTTGATCCTCGACGGCAACAACACAAGGTCCCCTTCCGCGCAACGAGGGGAGCGATTCTATCAGTCAACAGGTGAAGATTCCCAGCTAGACAACATTCGCCATGATCGTCAGAGTTGCTAACAGCGCCTGATCTGCAGCATCCACCTCGGCATCGACATCTCCTACGGACTCGGCAGGCCAATACTCCAGCGGCGACGAACAGCAGCGTGGTCAGGGTCGTAACTCATGACTGCCTTTGACGGGCCGGGGTCGGCTAATATCAGCATATAATTTGGGTCAAGGTTCGGGATGGGAGATTACGGATTCGACTTCACTGCTTTCATCTTTTATATATCCTCATATGGCGGGCATGTTTGGAGAACTCGGTTTTATTGGCTTGGACGCTCTGTCATTGCTTCCCTTCACCAAACCAATGCTAATCAAGGCATGGAGGGGAAATAACGCCGGCGCAGCTCATCTGTCGCTCCCTCGCCTGATGTACTGGGTGGTGACCACATCCGCCTATGTGCGGGCCATGCCACTCGTCGGAAGTTCGGGAGCGACAGTCGAGCCCGTCGTCCAGTCAATTTTGGCGTTAAGTATTGTTTACACAGTCAATATGTTGGCATTTATCTGGTCTTCAACTTTCTGGCATTTGTGTCTCAATATAGCGAAAGCGAAAGGCCGGCATCTATGTCGTCCACGTAATGCGGTTATACTAGGGTCTCATATCTGAAGCTCATTCGTTGCACCCCTACTTCACACGGGTGAGGAGTGGCCAATAGATCAAAACCGAAAACATGCCGGAATACCTGCAGGTTTCTATGCACATTGCAGCACATCTGGTGCCATTAGAGGACAGCTGTATGGACTCTAGGATCTGATATCAGTTGATAAAAAGCCGATGCGATCGTATTGCTGCAACTTGAGCGCTTTCAACTGGGCTGATGCAGGCCGCATCACGAATTGGGCTGACAACGTGTGGCTGCAAAGTGCATAGCATCTTGTCAAGATTGTGCTTGAGGCGAGCATGGAAATGGTGGGGTAGTGAAGCAAGGCCACGTTAATGCCACTAGCGGAGGATTTCTTGCCCTATCGCGGGCGATCCGTCAACGGCATTTGCCCCTTCTCTTGGACTATTGAAGGGATTGTTCCTACAGCGCAAACGTTCTCTGCTACCAGCCATGATGCCACATTATGCTTATATAAGTTTCTTCCGCTTGAACGATAACTAGAAATAGTCGATAGAGGCAAACAACATACAACGCAACTCGGGCTGTTATCAAGGGGCGCCCGGCTATACTTTCACACCTACAGATTATCATCTACAACACGTTTCTCTCCCTTTGAACAGTATAGTTGGTAGGTCGTCCCCGCTGCTCGGACCTCCAATATGACGCGTATATCTCCAGAAGAAGAGCGCCTTGATTTAGTGTAGACTGCACGTCTTTGGCTCGCAATGGAATATTTTTGTGACCGAAGGACCCAGTCTGCTTCCACATTGTTCAGATATGACTAGATATTAGCAATGGTTATTAGATGCATGAAAGGACTACTTGAAAGATCTGCTGCGAACAGGGCTGCCAACAATTACTCCCGTTTTCTTGGCGTGAGTGTCACCACATTGACATCTGCTTGTCCTGACATTGTCAACAAACTTGACATTAGTGAGGCGGGGGGCTGCAGGACATGTCAATGGTTTTCACCATGAGCATCTGCAAGCCAAAAAAACCCACGAAGCACGACATTCAATGGATGCTGGCCTGTCATCTGACCTGCTAGCCCAAAATGGCGATGCCGGGCCTGCATGATGATACCAGTACTGTACAGTATAGTATGTATGGTATCCGTTGGGTTTGCAGGTGCGGCAGTAGCCTGAGTCTTGAGGTGGCAACGGAGATGGGTGTCTGAGCGCAGCAGAACTCGACGCGGAAGAAACATCAGGACGAGAGACTATTTTGAATCGGCCAGCGATCTCTATATCCTATTGTAAAACACGAATATAACTCTCGGATTCCATCAACATCGGTGCCGAGTTGAAACAAAAACCCTAAATTGCATTATCGCCCAGCTTCACTCATGATCTCCTCGGGTAGGACCAATGATGTCAGAGTCATCCCCCGGACCTTGGAAATCCCCCCCAGACAGAAAGCGCCCGAGCAACGGTCCAGACCCCCCAAATGAGCTTCCAAGGTGGATGTCCGATAGATAACTGAGCTCTGAACTCTGAAGTGTCCTGCAGGAGCTGCGTCGGTGCGACCTACCATGTCAGCCACTGGTCCCTGAGCTCCCGGTCATTCCCTGTTCCTCTTGCCATTCCCAACCCCTCATCCCGGCTCTCCCCTCCCAGCGTCGTCTCTTATCAGGCTTTTTCTTTCCCTCTCTCGTCCGCTCGATATTTCAAATTCCATACTTTCTCTCGTTGTTCTTCCTCGTTAGCTGTCTTGGAGCTGGTCTTCTTCATCCGCTTGAGACTACTCAGCATACATCTAATTCCATCATGGTGCTCATCGATAAGCACGAGTACGTATCCCAAGAAGAGCGTCGCCTGAGAGAGGACCGTGAGCACTCGCGGTACTGGAAACGATGGGGGCCGTATGTGGCAGAGAGGCAATGGGCTACTGGTATGCTTCTCTCCTAGCTGTCTCATCCAAGTCGCGCTTCAAAGTACCTGGACTAATGACTATCCTTGATGCCCCGCAGTTCGCGAGGATTACTCGTAAGTCTTCAATTCACCATACTCGTTCGGTATTTGGGCTACGGAGCAAGCGGCATTTACTGATTCTTCTATTTTATCGATTTCAGGGAGAATGGAGATGCTTGGAGCTGTAAGCCCCTCGATTCACATGTGTGCCGCGCGGCCCGGACTGATCAAAATGATGCTTAGACTTTTCTCATGATCATGCGCGGTCTAGGACCTTCCGCTGGGGTGAGGACGGAATTGCCGGTGTCTCAGATACCCACAACCTGCAGAATATTGCCTTTGCATTCTGGAACGAGAAAGAGTACGTTGGCTCTGCCCCGTTACGACTAGTGGGATCTCAAGCTCACTATGGTCTAGCGATTTTCTGAAGGAGCGCCTATTCGGGTTGTCGAATCCTCAGGGTAATCATGGTGAAAGCATCAAGGAAGCTCACTTCCATGTTGATAATACCCCGACGGTTTGTGCTTCAATTCTCCAAGGTGGACGAAAATCGCGGCCCTTCTGACTCCATTGCGCTCTCAGCATTCCTACATGAAATATCTCTACAAGTATCCTCAGAAGAAGTTTCCGTACAAGGAACTCGTGGAAGAGAATGGCAAACGCTCAAGGCAAGACCGTGAGTATCAAATTCTTGATACTGGAATCTTCGACGACAACCGATACTGGGACATCTTCATCGAAACAGCGAAAGAAGAAGACGACGAGGAAGAATTGCTCTTTCGCATCATCGCCTACAATAGAGGACCAGAGCCCGCCCCGTTACACATCATTCCCCATGTTTGGTTCCGTAACACCTGGTCCTGGGGATACGAGGATCAGAAAGAGAAACCATCTGTTGAGAAGGTGCATCCCATGATTGCCAAAACATCTCATCATAAACTTGGGGAGCGATATGTGCAGTTCTCCCCCTCGCCGCCTGTTGGTGACGGTCAGGACGACGTGTTCCCCCAGATGCTGTTCACTGAGAACGAAACAAATAACGAACTGTTGTGGAACACCAAGAACAGTCAGCCATACGTGAAAGATGCCTTCCATCGCCTCATTGTCAATGGAGAAAAGGATACAGTGAACCCTGCGAATAAGGGCACTAAGTTCGCTGCTTGGTACGCCTTTAATGAGGGTGAAGGCGTTCCTCCTGGAGAGTGCGCTGTCGTGCGATTTAGATTTTCGCGACAAAGGGGTACCTTCTTGGATGAAGAGGTTCTTGATAATGTCATCGACGAACGCAGGACCGAGGCGGACGACTTCTATTACCACATCAGCCCGCTGCCCATGAGTGATGATCTACGCAACATTCAACGACAGGCATTTTCTGGCATGTTGTGGAATAAACAATTCTATCATTTCGTGTGGGATCAGTGGTCAAACGGTGACCCCGGTCTCATCCCACCCCCTCCGGGTCGGAAGCATGTTCGGAACCAGCAGTGGAAGCACTTGTATATGGAAGACATTCTCTCAATGCCTGATTCTTGGGAATATCCATTTTTCTGCGCATGGGATACGGCTTTTCATTGCATCCCGCTGGCGATGATTGACCCTGATTTTGCGAAGAGACAGCTGGATGTTCTCACCCGGGAATGGTACATGCATCCTAACGGGCAGCTTTCAGCGTACGAATGGAACTTTGGGGATGTGAACCCACCGGTTCACGCGTGGGCCACCTTCCGGACGTTCAAGATTGAACGGAAAATGTATGGTCGGCAGGATCTCGACTTCCTTGAACGCGTCTTCCAGAAGCTATTGCTCAATTTTACATGGTGGGTCAACCGCAAGGACTCTGAGGGCAAAAATGTCTTTGAGGGTGGCTTCCTGGGACTGGACAATATTGGGCTATTCAACAGATCGGAGCCTCTCCCTACCGGAGGAGTCCTAGAGCAGGCTGATAGTACAGGTTGGATGGCATTCTACTGCCTGTGCATGCTGAATATTGCACTTGAGCTCGCCAAGCACCGAAGGATCTACGAAGACAGTGAGTACACTTTCATGTCAAGGCTTTCATCGGCTGACAAATGGCACACAGTCGCATCTAAGTTTTTCGAGCATTTCATTCTGATCAGTGATGCTATGACATTCAAGTCTGGGGGACAAGAGACCTCCCTCTGGAACGAGGATGATGGGTAGGCCGTGTCTATATCTATATGTTTTTCATGGCTTACTTTAAGTAGATTCTATTATGACGCCATCTCTTATGGCGACCCTTGGACACAACAGCTTCCCGTTCGGTCCCTCGTTGGCCTGATCCCGCTGTACGCCGTTCTCACCCTTGAGCCCGAGTTGATCAACAAGTTTCCCTCTTTCAAGAAGCGATTGGAGTGGTTTGTTGAAAATAGGCAAGACGTGGCAGAGCGCAACATTGCTAGCATGAAGCACCGTGGCAAGGATGAACGCCTTCTCCTATCCCTTGTGAGCAAGAGCCGTTTGGAGCAAATCCTTAAGAGGATGCTTGACGAGACAGAATTTCTTTCGGAACACGGCATTCGATCCATGTCCAAGCACCATGAGGAACATCCATACTCAATGGAGGTGAACGGCCAGATGTTCCGAGTCAGCTATGTTCCTGGCGAGTCTGACAGTGCTCTCTTTGGCGGTAACAGCAACTGGCGCGGACCGGTCTGGTTGTGTGTTAATTTCCTGCTCGTCGAGTCTCTGCTGCGATTCTATATGTTCTACGGCGACTCTTTCAAGGTGGAGTGCCCCACAGGCTCTGGCGACTATATGCATCTCGGACATGTGGCGGAGGAGATCCAGCATCGGCTCCAACACTTGTTTGCGCGCAATGACGAAGGTCGTCGTGCTGTCTACAATGGCTCTGATCTTCTCGACTTTGACGAGCACTGGAAAGACTACATGTGGTTCCACGAGTACTTCGACGGAGACACTGGTCGGGGCCTGGGAGCATCTCACCAGTGTGGATGGACCGGGTTGATCGCCAAGATCATCCACGATACCGGGTAAGCCATGCGACACCTATAAGATATATTATTGTTGTATCACCATTCTGACAAGTCAACAGAATCAACTGCCGAGTCCCACAGACCCCCCGCTCGCCATTCGCTGCAGCATCGCACTACTTTGATGACATCTTTTCGCGGACGGCGCGACCACGTGGTAGCCGCCGCCCCAGCGTGCGCCGTTCATCCACCAGCCGGTCGATCGGGAACCGCAGTGACTTTGAATCCGCTTTCACAGGTCGTGACACACCTGGGCCGGAATCCGCTTTGGACGACGATGAAAAACTCGGTGAGTCAGGACTGGGATTCGGGGATGACGACCATGTGTCGCAGTATGTGGAAAGTCAGTTGGAGCGTGTCCGCAGTCGGGCATCCATGGGAGCGTATGAAGACGAATTTGAGGCGCAGGCTGATCGAGTGCCGAATGGACATTGAGTGATATACTAGAGGGGAGGCTTGCACACTGGCAGTCGATGATATGGTCGGTTTCATGTTAGTGATAATGGTCGTGAATACATAGGACGTAGATGATCTAGATGATTATATATTTATTGAAACGTCACAACGTCATGGCCTACATACCAGTACATACTATCATCAAGAGACTGAGTGTCTCAGTTTTGATGACATTGTGATTAAGCAAGAAACCCAAAAATACTACTCCTACTACCGGTCGTCAACGGTACTGGTATCGTTCCCACCCCCAGTGAGTGAAACTATCTAAAGAACTCCAAATTACTTACTAGGAATTTCGAGGGTCTAGTAAGTACTATGTCCATGACAACTTATATACATTCCCACCATCATGAATACTACCCGCCTCCAAGATCATAATGGTAGATGAAATGAAATTCTCTAATATATCGATAAAGCATTGAATCTAATTACGAGAGTATCCTCAAGACCCTCATCGCATCAGCATCAACCCCGTGCCAGGTCCCTCAATCTCTACTTTAAATCTTTCCATTCATCTAATATATCTATCTAGTCATAAGAATCCTAGTCCTCGTGATCCTATCCCATCGCAGCGCTACCACATCCAGTACTGGCGTTGCGAATGCCTTCAATAGACCATTGTGCATAAATCATAGTATCTATCACATATCCAAAGCACCATATATCCTTCCATCCACCCCCGCTTCATCTCGTTTCATGAACATATTTCATACATAACATGACATTACGTATCCGTCCAACCCGTCATCTAGATTTTGTTCTCACAGAGACAAAATCAATCTGAGGTCTAAGGCAGACGGGACTTGCCCGCCTCCCTGCTCTTAGCGAGAGCACCCATAAGACCGTACTGGTTGGACACTCCGGTAATGCGGTGCGTCGAGTTCAGGTTCTTGACCACCACCATCTGGTAGCAGGTTGCGGAACCTTGGCGGGAGGCGATGACGGACCAGGCGAGGAAGAGTTCCCAGATCTGTTTATATTTGGATACAGTGTTAGAGGTGTTTGGGAATAAGGGGAAGTAGAGGGAGAAGAGGAGGAGGATATACGCACCCTGTACCATCTGGGACCGTACTTGGCCTTGATTGCCTCGATGTTGCCGACCCAGTTGCGGTACCATCTCCAGAGGGTGCCGGAGTAGTGGACGCCGACAGTGTCGATACTATTCGCAGATTTGATGTTAGTGTTTGGTTGGTGAAAGGGGGCGGCAGGAAAGGTGGCTTACCCCTTGACTTCGAAGCCAGCTCCTTCAAGACACTTCACGTAGTACCACAGAGGAGTAGAAGCGTCCGCGCCACGGAAGATGTACTTGTTCAGATACAGACCCCAGATGAAATCCTCGTACTGCCATGCCTGTCTCAGACCCGAAAGCTGCACGTACATGCATCCATCATCGTTAAGCATATCATAGCACTGGCGGAAGAATCCAGTAAGCTTGCGAATACCGACGTGCTCGCCCATTTCCAGCTGAGTGATCTTGTCGTATTTCGTGCGGGGGATATCGCGGTAATCCATGCAGACAATGCGGCTCTGTTCCTCGGAGATGCCGGCCTTACGGAGAGCATCGTTACCCCAGGCAGTCTGGTTCTCAGCAATAGTGAGACCGGTCACCTTTGCACCGTAGTTGAGACTGGCGAACTTGGCCAGAGTACCCCAGCCGCAGCCAATGTCCAGCATGGTCTCGCCTTCCTTGAGGCCGATCTTCTCGCAAACAACAGCCATCTTGTTATCCTGCAGTTCCTCCAGGGTTTCTTCACGATCGGGGTCGGAGATGATTCCGGAGGTGTAGATCATGCGAGGGCCGAGGAACCAGGCGTAGTGGTCGTTACCTCGGTCGTAGTTGGGACGGATTTGCTCCTCATCCTGGGCCTTGGTGTGGAAAAGCACATCGACGAAGAAGGTGCCGACGATGAACTTGAACAGGTCCCAGGTGAAGGCGAAGCTGGCCCAGTCGTGGCGGTATTCCAGGATCTCAAGCACGTCGCCGTTGAAGTCAACCAGGCCGTCCAGGTACATTTCCGAAAAGGTTTGCATGGGGATCTTGTTCCTTCCGCTCCATTTCGCACGGTCTTCGTCGCGCTTGAAGGTGATGTAGTGCTCAACGGGACGGCCAGGGAGCTTCACTTTCTCGTTGGTGCGAGGGCTGAAGGTCGAGGTGTAGGTCCAGAAGGCCACGAGGACAGGTAGAACAGTTACCAGAGTGAAGAAGACGAAAGTTTTCTTTCCACCGCCGAGCAGGTAGGTCAAAAAGCCGGGGACTCCGATGATGGCGCCGCCCAACAGGAGGTTGGAGAAGCTCTCGTTTCCAGGACCATCTGCCGGCAGGGGAGGATTGTTAATACTCTTGGCCTTTGGTAGAGGTCAGCACGGTTTTGGACAGGTAGGCAATATGCCAGCAATTGGGAGGGAGGAATTGACATTGGTCAGGGCGACTCCACAGCTCTCGCCGGTTTCAAACTTGGGGGGAGCTGGTGCGGGAGTTTTGATGAATTGGATGTCGTCAGACAGCTCGACATCTTTAGATTTGGTCGTCATGGTCAATTGATACCCTCGTCACGGGTTATCTTGGTTGGTGAACTGGGGACGAGGAGAGGAAGACGGACATCTGAAGGGAGGACACTTGTTTCATAAGTTAGGATGCCGCGTCGATCGTCCCGTGCCGTGTCCCCAGTTGCCCGCGGGCCCCGAAAAACAACCAAACTGAACACCCCTTCCACGCGCATTTTCCTTCGTAGCTGCGACGCAAATTACTCATTGGTTGGATTTTATAGATATTGAAATAGCTGGTATACTGGTTTACAGGTAGTATTTAAATACCGGACTACTAGTGAGGACCCGCACAGTATGTTATCTGCCAAGATGGGTGATATAAAACTCAATTCTGTCTATTCGACTCCAGAACTAGAGCTCATGCTAGCAAGAAATATAGATGAATGAGGTAGATCGATTCGGTAGGGGTACAGGGAGTTGATATAAAGAAAAGGGTTAACTAAATATGGAAGCTCAAGAGACGCCTAATGTGAACATGTGCATCCCTCGTGTTTTAGGTGGATTCTTTAGGTAATTTACAAAGCGTCGGTGAGGGCCTTGTTGAGCTTGGCAATCTTGGAGGAGACGCTGAGGTCAATGGTGCGGTCACCGATCTCAACGACCAGGCCACCGACGAGCTCGGGGTCGACCTGATTTGAACATATGAGTATACGTAGCGTCAATTGGGGAAAGAATTAGTAATTACCTTGGTGACAACCTTGAGCTTCTTGCCCTGGCTGAACTCAGACTTGGAAACAGCCTTCTCGAGACGGTTGACAGTCTTGGTGTCGAGCTCCTGTTTCCCAACAATCAGTATAAAGCCCCACGATACGAAAACCCGAAAGAAGAAAGTACCTGAGCACTGGTGATGTTCAGCTCGATCTCACCACGGTGAGCACCCATGAGAGTGGAGAACTTCTCGCAGATACCCTCGAGGAGACCGAGACGGTTGTTCTCAGCCAGAGTGTTGAGGAAGTTCTTGAGGATGTCGCCCTTGTCGGCACCAGCAACCTTCTGCAGCTCCTGGACAATCTGCTGCTTGTCGGCGACAGTGAGGGTAGGGGCGGAGAGGATGGTGATCAGCTTGCGGTCGGCCTTGAGGGTCTGACCGAGGCTGGCGAGAGCCTTGGAGGTCTGGTCGAGGTTGGCGGACTTGGCAGAGGCAGTGTACTATACACAGAAACGCAAACAATCGGTTAGCCAGGGAGCTTTCTTGAAGTTGGCCATTTCTGGGATCATGAGGTTGCTAGGACGTGTGAATCTCTGTTTTTGTTTTCTTAGGTCTCCCGTCCGCCTTTTCCCCCTCTTTCTTGTTTTCTTCCTTTCTTCCGTGCCATTGACTGGGCGAGAACCTCAGAGCCACTACTAGCAACCAACGGGTAGAATCATGGTGTCGCATACCAGAGCGGTGGCATAGGTGCCGTCAACACCGAACAGGGAGACAGGAGGCTTGACATCCTGGGCCGGGGTGGCATAGGTCCTCAGACCGTTGACGGCGGCAGTGCGAGGAACGGAGAACTGCTGGGCGGTGGCACGGAGGCCGGCGCGGGCGACACGAACGGAGAACATGGTGATCTAGGAACGGAGACCTCGAGGAAGTGGAGGAGGTGAGATATGATGCGAGACGGACGGGGCGTCGGGGAGGGGATTGAGCGAGCAGCAACGGGCTGGTGGTTCGTCGTGCTTTGGGATGGACGGGCGACGTCCAACTTCTGCCGGCTAGCGGTCACGTGAGATCCCGCACACGCCGGGTTTTCGGCTATCCACTACTGCGAGTGACTTGATTCTTGAAGATCTTATCGTTATTGCTATGCTGTGCATGGACGATTTTTTTAATCTTCATTTCAGTATTCGTTCTCAAAATGCAAATTACAGTCGCACACGCTATGTAACGCCAGACTGCCTCTACGAGTGAATTGCGCCCTCCCGAATGCCAACACCCGAAACGCCATCCTCTCAACCTCTTTGCTTCACGGCCGTCTAGCCATTCGACCGATGCGATCTTCAATCACTGCGCAGCATGCTATCCACAAGATCTCCCAACGGACCCCAGAAATCCTTCCCACTAACCAGGCGGTGCTCGTCAATGAAGAGCACGTAATGCTTGAAGCTGGTATTCAGATGAGGCTCCAGTCCGAGATGGACCACAACCGGGTAGTGGTGGCAGTAAATGTGTGCATATACGCGATACATCCGCTTAAAGATCTGACGCACAAGGCTCGGGAACACCTTGGGGAAGGGGACGCCTGTGATGTAGCATCTCATATTAGTGTCTGCTCATCGCAATCGTAGTTTACGTAGCCTCCTTTCACGGCTCTCTCTCAAGACGCTACTCACCGAGCCTGCTGGGGAAAATTTGCTCGTTGTCGATACTGCTTTGTACCCAGCTCATCAAATGTTCGATGTATTCTGGGGCCGACATCTTCGTCGGTCGCTTGTAGTTTTCCGAATCTTGCCAGAGATATTCGAATCTGGATATCCATCGTCAGTTCTGTGTTGCTTCGGCAGGTATCAGGGCTAGCTCCGTACTCATCAGTTGCTTTCATTTCCGGACATGATTGCGGAGAACAGAACTCTGTGATCGCGCCATAGAGCAAGTTGATCTGGTTATAGAAGTCGACCACTGTTGCACATTGCAACAAACTGTTAGTATGTGTTTGATGCTGTCGCTGCTGCAAGCCTCGAGAGTATGTTTACCATTAACTGCAAGCCACTCATTAAGATCCTCGCCTTCTGGAAGCTTCACGGCCTTCCGTAAGCTTCCACTTCCCAAGGTCGCTTCCGCGAACTGTCTCAGTTGATAGCTAGTGGTGCCCTTGGCTGCCGACCGCGGCTTGAAGGGAGCGCGGGTCCGAGCGTTGCTGGGAGGTGTCAGTCCAGCGGTATCATATTTCAGCGCGCGTACTGCTGGGGACAGATAAGACGGGGGCTCAGAGAAGGGGCCAGGAAAAGTCTGAACGGTGCCATAGCAGACCGAAGGGGAGATGATGGACGGAGAGGAGGGGAGCGAAGGTTGGGGAGAAGATGAGGATGGCGGGGCAGGTTGTCCAGCATCGGACGAAGAAGAAACAGAAAGGATGGGGACAGACATGGTTGTGATGAAGGATGCCATCTCCTTGCCAAATTTCTTTTCTTTCCCTTTGGTTCCTCCCTTCAGTCAAATACGAAGTCACGGGTGCTATTCCGGTGTTCTTGGTCGAAACAAGGTGTTGTGTAGAGTTCCGTTGGAGAATGCGCCTGCATGCCGATGCCAACCAAGTCAGCGCCTGTCAGTCAAGTGTATGGACTCGACGGGGGGGAAATCTGGGAAAAGACGCCAGTCCCTGTCTTACTGCCTTACCTCTTTTGGGAATACCTGAATCAGTGCAATGGTAGGATGCGCCGATGAGGGGAGCAACAGACCGGCTGGCGGAATGAGAGGAGGGGACGAGAGGTGGTAGGTAGTAGGAGGCGAAGTTGGAGTATCAGCGATGGAGCCGCTCCGACCAAGTGTAGAGAAGCGCGACAACAACCTTAGGAAATGAAAACCAAGCGAAAGGAACACACCCAACTACCAACGAGGGGCGATGGAGGGCGATCTATATCGATCGCATTTCCGGCCTGCCTTCTCCACGATCCCACAAGCGGAACCTCCCCAAGGACCGGATCCATGGGTGCTGCAGCATCCAGGGTGGTAATCGCCCCGTCCGTTGCCCCGGCGACATCAGCCAGCCGCAAGGAAACCGGCCCTTTATTACATCGTCAAGGTTGTAGATAGTGGATATCCTTCAATTTTATTACGTAGGTAGGCTGCCGCTTGCTGGCATATATTCTTGGAATTGTAAAATATTAGATGGTACCTAGGAGTCTTGAAGTCTGCTGTGGCCGTCGTATTCACCGTCATAGCATGCAAACCCTCCATCAAAAGGCAACTCATGGAATAATAGATGTGGCTTCTTAACGAATGCGCCAAGCTATCCCAGACATGATTCATATAGAGTATCCTTCATTCTCCTCTGGCAATCGCTCCCGGACTGTCTCTCCGTAAATCGTGATAGGGATGGCAATTTCGAACGATTCGCAGCCCAAGTTCTCCAACGCGGACATGATGCGCCCGCGATCGTCTTCCGATACGGTTTCGAGCAAGCGAGCTCCCGAAGGGGCTGAACCATCGTGAACACTGCTAGTAACAAACTCGAACCGAAGTTCCCACTCATGATTGACCCCAGTTGTTATGACGGTCGGCGTCGCCGATACCGGAACAGCCGGACTGAAAATAACGCGCGTTGCATACAGGGTGTTTTCGAAATAGGAGGCATGGATCTTTCGAGTCGCACGACGAATACTGGCGTTTGATCGTACTGCTAGATGCCCTGCAACCCTCTCTGAACTTTCTAATGTCGCCCGCAGGGCGTAGCAGGGAAGTGCCGCGTCTGCAAAGTTGACGGTGGCGATGATGGTTTCGCCCAGCCTGTGCGCGGGACGGTTGAGTACCACAACAGCAATTCGGCGCCCGTCTCGGGCAATCTCAAACCGGTTAGGACTGCGCGAGGAACCGAGCGCCTGGTTGCTTCGGAGAATGGCAAGATCAATAGCGTCTTTGCAAGTAAGGTGCCCGGTAGATGTGTCGCGACTTGCGCGCTTCTCGGGCGTCGCCTCGGGTGGTTGCAGCGAGTTTTGGCGTGCACTCTGCTCCAGGATGTCATCCACATACGACAAGAAGTCTGGGGCTGATGTCCAAGTCGGCCCACTGATGCTTTTGGGCTTGACTGCCGGCGGCGGGTTTGGGCCAACCTTCTGCACTCGCGCCTCGTCGCGAAGGAGCACATACGGGTTCATCAGGTCATGACCCATTATCTCCCCATGACCTATAGAAGGAATTAGTGACACTTTGCTGCGCAGGGAAACAACGACGAGCTCACCATTGACGCCGCTGAAAACGCGGAAAGGTATACTGATACGATTGACTCGTTGGGGTTCATGATGGCCACTCGGCCGCTGTGTACCAATGACGAGATTGTAAGATATCTTAATGGCTTTCCCCTTATGACTGGCTGGAAGTCCCGATGGCAGGGTAAATGTAAAGGAGTAAGACTGCTCTTCTCCCGGTGCCAGTCGTAGGTCCACGAAGAGAAGGGACTGGGTAGTAGACAGCAACGGTATGGATTTCGAAGAAGAAACTCCTCGCATATCTCGCAAGCCATCCAACTCATTATTGGAGAGCAAACCGCTCAGAGACTCTTCGATCGCGTTCCATTTGAACGCGCCCCAGAAACCGCCGCCCTTGCGATTCTTATCGTTATGCATAGCTGGTCTCCCGCTGTTCATACCCGGCGCAGACCCTGCACCACCAACAACACCTTTTCGCTTCACTTCCTCAAAATGTGACTGATGGATCAACGAACCGTCAACAGTGAAAGATGCACTGATCTGGGCATATCCCATGAGTAGAGTCTGGCTCTTGGGCGCTATGCCCGGAGACTCAATACTCGACATGTGTCGCGCGTGGCGAGGGATATTCTGACGCGGCATCGCCGTCGAGTAGTTCGTGTACTCGGATTGCAGAGTTTCTGTAGAATTGTCGCTAACAGAGTTATACTCATTGCTGCTTCTATGACTACCAGTGAGACTGGAGGTTGACATGATTCTGGTGAGCTGAGGCAGATGGCCTGGGGCAGCTAGTGTTGCTGACTCCCTTCCATTGGGCTTTGTCTGTCCGGCAGTCTCTTCGAAGGGTGTTGCGAGGGGAGATAGAGTAGAACGCGAGTGTGTATCAGCCCCCGGTGAAGGCGGAAATTTGAACTCGAGAGGTGGCAATTGAGGCCGACGCGCAGGTGTACGAGGTGACTCGAATGGGGGCTGAGAAGTAGGCCCTCCTACATCATCGATGTCTATTCGTGGGTTTCCAGGAGACGAATTGACCGGGGACTCTGGGGGTGGAAAGCCACGATACGTGTTGCGTCCTGCTAGCAATTGACTGTAGTCAGCCTAATGATCGAACCATCCCCGATCGCGCTATCTATTGGAGGTACCTTTTGCAAATGATTCTTCGTAGAACTCATTCCTTCGCGGAAGAACTTGTAGACTCGCAGCGCGCCCATGACCCCTGACCGGCCTCGATCGACTGAATTGTGAAGATGTTCTGGGAGTCGGCTCTCCTGTTGTTTCGCTATCGATAGAAAGAATAGATACTGAGCGCTTGTGCTTTCCACCAGCTGGTGGACCACTGCGAGGGGTGGACGGGGGCGGAAAGCTGTGAGAACCGATCAACGGTGAGCTCACTGATGAAGAGGGGCGATGCGACGGGCTCTTTTTGGATACGCTAGAGTATGAGCGGCGATGTGGACTGAAGAAGAATTTCTGAGGTGATCGAAGCGAAAACAGTGACTCTGAATGTGAGCTGGTAGCTCGCGATGGATGTCTCTGATGCGAGGACTGCCCCCCGTTCCGGGGGTCTCCGTTCGTCTCCGCAACGTTCTTGAAGGTAATGATACATTCCACATCTTCCCCGGCGAATATCGTTTGATCCTTCCATTTCACGAAAACCTGGATGTCTGAGGGCATGGCGACGATCGCAAGGCCACCATGTGGGCGGGTGACCGCAGACAAGAATCACGAAGGTCCGGGGTAGATGGCGGGTACCAGCCGCCACCAGACGAGGGCTGAAGTAAAGATTGGCAAATATGATACACTGAGAGAAAAGGTAATCAACGCCAGCTAGGGCATACCATTAAATCGTGTAAGCCATAATCGTTGGAGGATGTGGAGGGAGGAAGGGCACAGAGCGGGTGCCATAACGTTCTTGTCGGGGAGGACGCGGTGGTGGTGGTTGGTGGTGCACTACGGCCGACGGGAGGGAATTGCAATCCCATGACGAACCACGTAGAGAGCTGTGCCCCTCGACATATGATAGATATGCTGTCGGACTCCCAGTTTGGATCTTCTTCCAGACCGGAGAAAAGCAAAGTTGATCAATATCCATTTCCTAGCTCCGACTGGGGATCCCTTTATCCCCGCAAATCACTTCACTTTGTGAAACTGTATGTTACAAATGACGGCACTGCTGGCCATGGGCCTCGGATAGGAGTACTTTAAGAAAGCTTTTAGAGAACAAAGAAGAAAAGCAAAACCTCCACAAGTTCAATCTAACGCCTATTCTATGCTATTCAATGCAAACCCGGTAGATAGCTCGTATAGTACATGTGATATATACATGGTGTCTGCCTGTACAGGCCCATCCATTATTATTTACGCCTTGCCCCCTTTCTTTTGGTTGTTGCCATAGAGCAGTTGGTTTGCGTCTGTCAAGTCTCGGGTGCGCTTTGTACTTGGTCGTAGGCCTAGCTCCGACAAGTGACCCCAAATTCGATCATGTCGCCTCTCCCATCTCTTCCGTCGGTCTTCGATTTCGGTCTCAGAGGGCCTCCATTTGCTCTTCAATATCCGCCGAATAGCCTCCGGTGAGACCTTGAATTCCTCCGCAAGAACAGGTGTAGTGAATTTTTCTGGTGCGACCGCGTGGAGGTGTCGAATACCCTCCAACGCATCGGGAGAAAGCTTCTTGGAAGGGTTCCAACCATCCTTGAACTTCTCTTTCAAGGCTTGTTTGTGAAGCTGCCATTTCTCTGGTTTCTTCTGAGGCATGGGATTGGAAGGGATTTCTTCATGGCGTGAGCGTTTCTTCGATCGAGATGATTTGGTGCGCTTTTTATCGGTAGGTGTATCGGAGGAAGGTGCCTCAGCTAGGTAGTCCGCATGGCTGGTTTTGGTGTCATTCCGTTCTGGCGATGCGTTTGCTTCGGTCGAGGCACGGCGTATTTCATTTTCTGAACCTCCCAGTGGCGCTGTATTAGAACTAAAGGAGGCGGAGGAGGAAGGGTCCTGTGCTGATAGATATATTGCAGATTGACAAAGTTGGGGTTTGATAGAGGCGCTAAAGTTCCGTCGTTGCGTTTTGTATCTGCTTTGAGAGAAAGGCGTTATGGAGAGGATTCTCCGAGACGCGGGACCCTGATGGACGTCCGAGGCGAACTCTGAACGGAGAGCATTGCGCAAGACATTTGGGAGGGAGAGCTTCAGGGATGAAGCGCAGACACCCGCCATAGTAAAAATCAACAGAACAAAGTGGCACTCAATTGAAATATGGAGAGAGAGAGAGATGGGAGCTGGGGAAATTCTCCCGGACACTAAGAGACTTGCGACAGCAGAGAGACTTCTGGAAGAGGCCTAGAACAATTGGGGCCTGAGGCATAAAATCATGTGACCCATCGGTCGAGTCTCTCGGGGGAAGCAGAATTGTCGTAAGGATAAGGGAGCGATGCGATGGAGAGAAGCCTAGGAAGACTAGTCAGTTACCCAGCCCATGCTCCTGGAGCAGCGTAATTGTCTAAATGGAGAGCATGAATAGTTGCAGAGGCGGAGATTAGTCGCTCCGCCCTTTTGGAAGCCACATCGAAGTTGCCCGATACGATATAACGATCCACCAACCTATTGTGTATTAATCGTACGCACGAGGATGGCCGTTGAGAGACTGAACGAATATTCCAGATCTGAATATCTTTAATAATCTGAACCCTTTTCTTTACCATGGTAAGGGGCTAGTTGGTGCAAATGAGGGCGTACACCGTAATATCCCGTTTAATGACTATTGGCCTAGAAGTCAAGGCTACCCAAGCAGATGCCTGCCTTAAACTCCTGCTCTTTGTCCCCTTGTGCCGCGCTAGTAGACGTGCCATACAGGATGTACACTTTCGTTAGTGCCAAAAGTTACGGATCGAAGTATGACAAGAATTTCACTCTTGCCTGAACAATTGCGGTAAAAATTGGCTCTTCATTGAAAGTTTTTCAGATAATCTCTTCTTCTTTCTACTACCAACTGATAACAATCCCCGCAGGGCAGTGGTAAGAAGGATGAATTGGCTGTGTCATGAATGATGATTACTCGCGACAAGTCAAGAACCCAGAAGGATTAGCATCCCCACCGAGCCGGGGCCACTTGATGCCCTGTGAGGAGGTCGATCAAGCCTCTCTTTCATTCCCAATCTCGCCGGGAGGTTGGCCCGATCACTGGGCAAGCCATGATGGGAGGAGACACATACACACAGTGGGAGGACGTGGTGGTGAGAGTAAACATCTCACCTTCTTCATCCCACTGCCGTGCCTGGCAGCATCTCTTGCTTCTCCTCCCCACAGGATCAGGGATGATCGTCTAGGATCTTGGATCAGCTTGACGGGATCTCAAGTGCCCCGAATTTAGCTTTCCCGAAGCTAAATACGACTAGAAGCAGCCCAGCGCCAAGGGTTCGTCCATCATTTTTCGGCTCTCCGCCCGTGGAATGTTATGGTTGTGGTGGTGCTGGTGATGGTCAAGCTGGGAGCTTTGCTTTTATCTAGCTCACCTCGCCCACATTCTGCCTTTGCTTCATCAAGGCCTCAATCATCCCTTCCCTACATTCTCTTCTCTCCCTCGTTCCTTTCCTTTGACCATCTGACCTAGTCATTCATTTAGAGCCAGTGTGTTTATTTTGATTCCTGCCCCCTCCTTCGCCGGTCCTTTCGTCCTTCTCCCCGATCTCCGCCGCCTTTTCGTTCTGTCTTCACACCAGCCTCTTCGCCGCCATCCACGCACAAGGAGAAGAAGAGATTTATATACGGGGAACAAAAGAGACTTTGCTGTTGACACCGGATCCCTCGTCCCTCTCGACCGAAAAGTTCCGTCACTTATAAGCAAAGCTCGTCGTTTTCCTACACTTTCTCCTTCCTCGCTTGACCTGCGGCTCTTTCCTTGAAACCAGGACCTTCGATAGCGATACAATAATTTTCAATTGGAAGCTGGCATAAAAACCACGCATACCAAGCCCCAGCCCACCAATGCGTTCGAAATCCTGTCGACTGAAAGACCGTGATCCCTCGTGAATGAAGCCGACGCAATGACGACCAACTCGTTGAGCGCAAAGAGCAGGCCCGCTTCATCGCTTCGCATTACTCCTTCGAATTCCCCAATCCTGAGACCGCCAACGCGCTCTTCCATATACAAAGCATCGTCTCATCAGACAGCCTTGACCCTGCGGACAGTACTCGGAACAACCACAACTACCCCTCATGGATTCTCGAGTCATGAGCAAAGAAGGTCTTTCGCCCTCTGTGCAGGCTCAGTGGCGGTACTCGTTGAATTGGACGACAAGGACTGTGTAAGCCAACGCTTTTTCAGGGCACGGCCCTCGGCAGCCAGTGTGAATCCAGTTACATCGTTCTACCACCAATCCACGCCGCCTACAACACCTGACAGTCGAGCAAAATTCTCATCAAGCTTGAGATCGACCGCCCACAGCAATGCTTACAATGGCTCTCCATGCCATGACACAACTGATCCCGGTAGTCCCCGTGGTTGGTCCTCACGCGAGAGAGTTAAGGCGGTTACGTGTACCGCCATCAGCCCTAATGGGGAGTTCCTCGCAGTCGGAGAAGTAAGACAAGTAACCTTGGTGCCGTCCTCAACAATGCACTGACTGTTATTAGACTGGTTATAGTCCCCGAATTATGATCTTCTCAACGGCGAAAGACGCATCTTCGGACATCCCACTTTCGATCCTTACAGAGCATACATTTGGTGTGCGAGGCCTGGCCTTCAGTCCGGATTCACAGTATCTAGCGACGCTCGGTGATGTGAATGATGGGTTTCTTTTCGTATGGACTGTTAATCCGAAGACTGGTTCGGCAAAGCTTCACTCAACCAACAAGTGTACTTCCCATGTCCGTGACATGTGTTGGATGGGTCAGACCCTAGTCACGTACGTCCTAGCGAGGTATGCTATGCGTTAAATCGAACAATAACTAATTCGTGTTTCAGGGTCGGAGTCCGACATGTGAAAGTTTGGAGACTTCCAGATGCGAGGCCTGGCTCCCCTCGGTCTCGCCTTACTGTGGAGGCACCAAGCAGCTCCCCGAGCCAGATTCCCAAGGCATTTTCGGGGCGAAATTGCTTACTGGGCTCGCTGGCCGAAAGCACCTTCACTAGCGTAGCAAGCTTTTCCGATCGTGAGTCAGTGGTAGGCACCGATACGGGGGCTTTATGTTTGGTGGATGATAGTGAGGGATCCCAGAAATTGTCCGTTGTCCAATACCTGGATTTTGGCATCACTTCCTTGGCGGTTGACTTGCACCGCTCTTGTGTTTGGGTTGGCGGAAGGGGAGGACAAATTCAGCCTCTCAGTTTTGAGAAGATACGCTCATCGGCCGCTCCCCTGTCTCCCACACTTTCTGGCAGGTCATCAGCAGAGCAGGCGCTCAAGGGCCCTGCAATCATCTGCATAGGGTCTCTGGGGTCTCGTGTGGTAGCAGTGGACTCGACTAATGCTATTGAGATACATTCGGGCGACGAATTGGGCGACGAAGTCGACCAGAGGACTCCTCAAACCATGGTCTCCGCTCACCGGGATGCGGTCCTTGGGATACGTGGTCTCAAAACACCGAACCAGTATGACGCTACTTTCTTCACATGGTCTCGCAAGGGTAGCGTGAAATTTTGGAACTCCCAAGGGAATTGCAAAGATTCGCGTGCAATTGTTCTGGAGCACCCCCCTGGCTGTGATGAAGATATTTCCAATGAGCTGAAAGTAGTACGAGCTACCGATGAGATGGACTTGTTTGTCTCCGGTGATAAATTTGGTGTCCTTAGGTGCGTTGCCATTGTTTGTTGAGTAGTGAGTGAAGTTCATCACTTTTACTGACCAGAGTGACACAGGATGCTGCTAGGCTCCTCTTGGGAGCCTCTACATGAGGTCCGAGCCCATGGAGGGGAAATCACTGACATTGCTCTACATACAACACCGGATACTTGCTTGGTCGCCAGCTGTGGACGTGACCGCATGGTCCAGCTATTCGAGCGAAGCAATAACCGACTTGAGTTAATCCAAACTATGGATGACCACGTTGGGGCCGTAAACCAGCTCCTCTTCCTTGAGAACGGAGAGAAGCTCCTTTCGTCCTCTGCCGATCGTACCATTCTCATTAGAGACCGCGTTAGCCGGGAGGTCAGTGGTGCACCGATCGTTGCTTACTTGATCACCAGAGTGATCACGATGAAGGCATCCCCAGTGTCCATGACCCTTTCTACGGACACGGATGTCCTTGTCGTATCTACTGCTGATCGAAGTATTCAACAATATGATCTCGCTTCTGGTCGTCAGATCACGTCCTTCCGAGCTATAGATTCGGATGGAAGCGATACAGTTGTCATGAACTCTTTGACCGTGACTTCTGATATCTCAAGGCAGAGTTTCTCGAAGCTACTCTTTGGAGTCTCAGCCACCGACAAGTCGATACGTGTATATGACTTGGAACGTGGCGTGCTTCTTTCAGCTGAATTTGGGCACACAGAGGGCATGAGTGACGCTTGCCTACTTGCAAACTACCCCAATGACTCCACCCAGTCAGATGACCGGATCCTCATCAGCTCCGGCCTTGATGGGCTTGTTATGATCTGGGGAGTATCTGTGCTTCCTCAATCATCATCAGAGCCCTCGCCAGCCCTACACAAAGATGATGATGCTCCTGTGAAGGAATTGACACTTGCTAAACCCCCTCTACGCAAAGTTTTGTCTAAAACCGAGCTTGCCGGGCTCCAACGACAGGAAAACATTGCTGTCACACCAACTCCAGCTCGCGGACATTCTCCCACCTTTCTAAGGAAACTTTCCAAGTTCTCGCTGTCTCCGGCGAAGCACGGAAATACACAACCGCCCACGACGCCCTCATCGACGTCGAATCGCCGTTCCCCTACCTCTAGCGCTTGCCGAGACAAGTCACATCCTACATCACCCTCTTTGCATACTTCAAAGACCGCAAGCCCTAGGAAGGTTGGTAGTAGTCGAGGCGAATCCCGCCGTTCCTCTCTTGATATTCGTGCCCGGGCCAGACTTTCCGGGAAAAGCGATTATGGAAGCCTCAACACGTCTACAGAACAGGTCTGCCGTACGTTGAAAGCTTACAGGAAAAAGCTTAATGGCTCAGTGGGAAATATTCATGCCCAGAAGGAGCTTGAGAGAGAGCTGAACTTGACCCTACGGGCTCTCAACCATCGAAGTAATGGCAGCGATAGCGCAGAAACTGAGACCGAGAGCAGCGGAAAGGAGAATGAAAAAGTCCTTGCATGAGCCACCCAAGAGATCCATATACACCCTGCCGGATCCTGTCATCGGATGTACGCTCGAAAGAGACGCCAAAGGCTTCATTAGGCCTGACGGTTCATTCGGATAGGGGAATTAGATACGAAGGCGGGTCCACTGGCGCCTGCCCTTCGATCGCGCATTTATATCTTGTCAACTTTCGTCCTCTCCTTTCTTCGTGTTTCTTTATTTTACTCGCTCTGCCCTTCCTCGTAACATGCAGGACATTCAATGTTATCCTTATAGACTTGCTTTGTTATTATGCGAGGGGTCTGCTTTGGTCTGGTTTCATCTCATTTGAGCATTGCGGGTGTTGGATGTTTCTGCTCCCATTCTCTTGCATAATATTCGGGGTGCGGGAGGTATAAGGAGTTCGGGGCGCATGTTTTCCAATTCTTTATCCAACCCTCGCCTGCAAGCTGACCTAGTCTGTCCTCATTGAGCGTTCAGTGTGCCTCACCAAGCGAGGTGGTCTCTTACAACCTTCACTGCACCATCGTCCTCTCTCAAAGAGTTCTTCTCTTCACCCTGTCGGATCATTCCCAAATTTTTCCATCGACTTTTTTTTTTTTTCATTTCCTCCAAATTCTGATTAATCGTTCGGATTTTTACCTACCTTCTAAAAGATACCCAAACATTGTCGCTGCCTGCGACAGAAGACTGTGTTCTTCTGACTACTTTGTTACATGCCATGTCAGACCTTTATCCAAGGCCAATATTGGTATGGCTCTGCAGTTCCCTTAGATATTTTATTGACATTCACAGCCAGTTCTGGCAGAAAGTCTTTGTTATACTCTCTTGCCGAATGGCAATATATGTAAGTGAGTCGAATGCAGAACTGAACCAACTAGTAGCACCTTTTCTTTGAATAGTATTGATCTCTACCGTACAATGAACAGGATGGACAGAAATCACAATACCTAGTTGCATTTCCCGAGTACGGGTATCGTAGTTAATATCTACGTAGATCCTATGTACTACAGTAGCACCATGGCGGCTGATATCAAGTCATAGTTGTTCATATGGTAGATATAACTTCTCAGCCAGGATTCCAACAAATAGCTAAGACAACAATGTCTTCACTATAGAGTCCGAATTGCTTCAAGTAGGGAGGTTATTCATTCTGCAATTGCGCGTCCGCCTACGGTATGCCTCGTCTTCTCTCTTAGTTACTACCCAGAGGATCGCCAATGTTCAATAGTACAGGATCCCTATGAGCATTTTGAGCTCTCGCTAGATTCGCACTATACAGGACCTACCCAAGCTCATGCAAGCCAGCCCGAAATCTATATATATTTCTATATAAATTAGCTCGGTTATTATTGAGTCTGATGCAATCTTTATCCAACCGCCGAAAACCTAACAAGTTCACTCAATAAGCGCCTTCATCCTCCTTACCAGCGACTTTCTCACCGGAATTGACTCCTCGTCAACCCGATCCGCATAGTAGCGTCGCCATCTATCAAGGTCAATCTCCCTCGCATCCACCCAGAGCGGGCCGCGATACCAAATCTGCGCGCCAATCCAGATGATAATGACAGCAATCACACTGATATAGCTCGCAAAGAAGTTCTTCGCGCTCGTCGATTTACCTAGGGGCCAAATGCTCAAGTAAAGCTCCAACCCGATCAATACAATACACCAGATCAGTGCCCACCATGTCGCATAGGGATATGCCATCGTTCTCCATGGAAGGTGGGTCTCATCCCGACCTTGAACCTTCCAGCTATATCGGAATCGTAGATGAGAAAGAGAAATCAGGCCCCATCCGAAGAGCGTGAGGAGCGAGACTAGGTTGGATAACCATTGGAATACCTGCGCTCCGGTGTTGGATACGTTGATGTACGAGAGGGCGCCTCCTATCCCGATCGTGGCGATGTAGCCGGCCCATGGGCGGCCGATGCGGTCTGCTTTGCCGAATATCTGGGCAATCTATTAGTCGATTTGACGAACGAGCTCATTACTGCAAACCAAGCACACATACCCTATGATTCATACCCACATGCGCCAGCCCCATCAGCATCCGGGAGCCACCATAGCCAGAGATACTCCCCGTCGAGAGCATCGAAATGAAGATCACGGCGTTGGTAATATGCGCCATCACAGGAATTCCTGCATTTTTGAAGGCAATAACGAAAGGTGAAGCATTGCTTCCTGACGATCCGAACAAGTTTGGGTCGGTTGGATCAACGCTTAATGTAATCATGAGGCTGCCGAGAATGTAGAAGAGCCCAAGACGAATCCATATGGATCTCACGGCTTTTGGAACCGATATTCGGGGGTTAGCTACCTCGCTGGCTACCATTGCTGCGCTTTCTGTCCCCGCCATGGCGAAGATGCAGGTTGGGAGGATGCTGAGGAAGCCTTTGAAGCCGTTTCGGAATGCTTGCTCGTTCCAGTAGCGGAAGCCGATTGGGCCTTCTTGGGGGGAGCCGCCCGCGGTGATTACTGAGTTTGAAGGTAGCTGCATGTTAGTATTTGTTTTGATGTTGATGTCGATGTAGCTGGAATGAATAGATATTGAAGAACATACCGATGAGGGCAGGGATGATAACTAACATCCAGCCGAATTTCACCGTCGATGCAACTACCTCCACTTCGGCGAATAGCTTGACGACCCAAATATTGATGAGAATGATGACGACCCAGAAGATGGATATCCATGCAACCTTGGGGACTTCATCGGTCCAGTAGTTGAGGATAGTTATGATGCCCTGGATTCGACAGAACAGATAAGCCTAGGATGATAGATCCAAATGGTAGGGTAGGTAATACCTGGAGTTCATTGGCTATGGTGATCCAGTACGAAAACCAGTATCCCCATCCCAGGGCAAACCCAGCAGCAGGACTGACGAAGATGGTAGACCACTGTACGAAAGCAGATGGCAGGGGGTACATGACAGCCATTTCACCAATGGATTGACTGACTGACCATACCATGGAGCTGCTGATCAGATATCCAATGAAAAGACTCGCAGGGCCACCATCGACTAGAGATGTCCCACTTCCCAGCCACATGCCCATTCCGATGGCTGATCCGAGGGAGACCATTGTGAGATGGCGTGTTCCAAGAGATCGATGGAGCGTTGTCTCGGCTCCATGATCGATTATCTCTCCCTCAGCCTTTCCAGTGTCATCTTGTATATCGACGCTCATTGTTTCGATTTGCTCGTGTCTTTGAGCAGCAGCATCTTTAACTGTCGGTAGTACTGCTGCTTCGGTGACATTCATATTAGTCTTTGAGGGGCGTCTTCCTACAAAACGGTCTTTAGAGATTTAGGTACGGAGCAGAAAGAAATAGAATGCCGTACTCAATCAAGAAAGTATGTTGCGGCCGGTTATATGAGACACTATGGGCATGTCAACCATTTAATCCAACTGAGTCCAGGTATCCCCCTCCTGTTTGCTCTAAGGTTTCAGCTTGAAATAGGTCTATCGGGTGCATTCGCTGGCGTTATCTCATGCCAATCCAAAGTCGGACAAGAAGCCCTCAGATAGACAGACCCGCTTCCTGCATCGCCATCAGACATGAACTTTCCCCGCAATTCCTCATTGATGATAAGCTTCCCCGCAGTATCCCAAACTGTATTCGGTGCAGGTGGTCAGCTATGGCGCCGGCAAATGCAGAAGAGAACCCGGGAAGGGGGAGTAGGAGGCCGCTTATCAGCAAACAAACGCCGTTTGAAGTCGGAAGGATTCCACTATATGGCAGGCGGAGACGATGTTTATCTTGGAGCATCTCGGTATCTGAGATAATGACTCACTATGTTGGGTTCATGGCCATGGGTATTACGTTACGTGTTATCTTTGAAACTGGATTATCACCTATGATGTGAGGTAGACAATCATGCCTGTCACCTTGCATCATCGCTCAGGGTACCACGCCTCTGGGAGTATGGTATGAGCTTTAGAGCTTTAGCATGATTGGGTGAGATAGTAACGGCTTATTTGAGGGATGGATTATGTACTCATATTTGTAATATATTAAGAGCAGGTATATATCAAGCTATAATGTACAAGGATGGGCGATTTGGTGAATTGGAGGTTTGAGGAAAAGTCTGTATTTCATAATATCATAGGAAATTTGTCCATCAAGCATATAACATACTGACTGGCTCAAATTACATTTACTTTAAAGCACGGACTATGCGAATCATTGCCTCCTCCAGCCAAGGAAGAGGATGCGAAAACACCAAGCGGAACCAGCCTGGGTTCTCCGATCCATAAGCAGTACCGTGGGCCACATACACCTTGTTATCAAGTAATCTCTGAAACAGCGTGTCAGTGAGCGCGTGTCCCTCTTCGACCTCCCCAGGATGTGTCTCTCTGTATTTCTTCCCGAGATTGACCCAGACGAAGAAGCCGGCATGACACCCGGGAAGGTATTCAATATCGTGCTTCTGGAGAAGGCGCACAAGGAACTCATGAGAATGGGAGAGCATTTCTCTGTTTTTCTGAATGTACTTGTCTGTGAAGTCATCATTCTGAAGGATAGAGACTGTAATCTGGTCCGACATGGCGGAGATGAAACTGTACAATGAGAGGCACTTCTGAGCAATGTGCAGCTCGGGGTTCGACTGAGAAATGACGGCACCCACTCGGAGCCCATTGGCACCGAAGTCCTTGCTCATACCCCAGAGAACATGCACATAGGCAGGGTCAATCAGCCCGGTGGTGTCTCTCGACAGCAAAGATTCAAAAGGGGCAAAAGAAATATCTTTGTCAACGCGATTGTTCCAGACTGACAGAGCATAGATCTCATCGCTGATCAAATGCATTCTGCGCGATTGGCAGAGCCTCATCAACTTATCAATCGTAGCACGAGGATAACACCGACCCAAAGGGTTATGCGGATTACAGAGCATAACGGCACGAACTCGCTTTCCGGTGTGTGCTTCAAATTCCCTCGCTGCTCTCTCGTAGTTTTCGACTGCTTCCGGACTTAAGGGATCCATGCCACCCATTTCCACAGGAACTACCACCGATCCGGGCCGCAAGGTGATATCGGCAATAAAGGTACTGTAGTATGGCTTGCTGAGGAGGATTGCCTCGCCTGGGTTGAGAAATGTCCAACTCAGGTGCTCAATGGCAGAGGAACAGCCGTTGGTCATGAGGATGTGGCCCGGCTTGACCGGTCTGGAGGGAGTGAAATGTCTGTTCACGAAGTGTGATACAGCCTTCCGAAGGGCGTTTGAACCCATACTCCCGTTATTGTAGGTAAGGTGTTCCGCAGAAAGATGCGTGTTGCCATTGATATACTCCAGCAGCGTGTCATGCAGCAGCGTGTTCTCTGCCATGCCCACGGAAAGATATCCAGACGGGTTCTTCTGAGGATGCCACATGTCGCTGATGATGTCCCATGTTATACGGCTGGCACCAAGTTCCACGGCGTGTTGACCACGCTCGGAGAATAGGTTGCAGTCCGGCTTGGCTGCAGAGATGTCAATGGAGCCCATGGTGAAATTGGGATTCGGATCAAAGTGTCAAAGAATCTGTGCGTCTCAGTAATACCAAGTGCCAGTCATTAGAGGTGGAAGTATCTCCTGGGTTGACGTGATATATTGTGATGCACGATTGGCGAACGGGCGGTCTTTATATCAACTCTACCGAAGTGTAAGCGGTCGGGGAGCAGGCCGATATCTGACTTGGATTAGCCCGCTATTGAATTTCTGGCAGCTCTTGCGATGTATATTTGCCTATACTCTAACCTCTCACATGCCTGAGAGATGCCGTTCCTGTTTTTGCGGGCGATAATCCAGTGGTTGTGAGAATGAGCCATTTTTGTCCGTTCAGACGCCGTTGGGAAAGCCCAATCAGCAACTGACATGAGTCTGACCAGTAGTGGCCTTCTGAAGCTGGTAGGCTGCCTTAGATGGTACTCTTCTACTGGCTTATCTCCTAGTATAGTCATGGCACTTGCGATCGAACAGTCACAGCGTCTGCTGGGCATGGCGCGCGAAGGATTCGGGGCTTCGGGCTCTGATGCGCAGGTCTGCCTAGGTGACCGGCGTTTGAACCCCGGTCATCGCTTCGAGAGATACGAAGTAAGCACCTGCTTGAGAGAGCTAGGACCAGATTTTGTTTATTATCTTGGCAGCTCCTGATCTGATCCCCCCTTTTACGTGCTCAGCCATTGATTGAAGTAGGTGGTGATGGGTCGCCGAAGGAGCCAAGACCGCGGCAGACGCCGATGATGCGGGATAAACGGGTGCATAGATGATAATCCAGCTCGGACGCAACTGAAATCGCTACACGCGTAATACGTCTCACCGGAAAACGAAGGCGGGGAAATGACATGGACTTTCTGCATCCTGAAGACTCAGAGTGACCCACTTCTTCTCATTCATCTTCTAGACAGTCTCTAGCCCGAATTTTCCGGCGCTCTCTTTTCGTCACCTCAAAATCCCCATAGAACGACCCATTCTTCTCGTGGAAGAGCAGAAGCTCAAGGTAACCGGAAGGGTGAATAGATTAGGAGATAGATAGCCCTCGATGGGGAAGGATGAAGTCTGCTACGACTAGACCTGTGAAGCTGGCATGTTTAGCCTGGTATGTGGACCATACCATATGCAAGGGATTCCGCAAATTGACCCCAGCAATCAATAGCCGGGCTGCTAAGATTCGCTGCGATGGGCAGATGCCGTGTGCCAATGTAAGTAACAATTCATTATGGAATTAGCTTTCAAGAAATGAGAGGCCTTTCGGTCTAGTAACAAAACCCCTGAAGTGCACCATTCACCAGGAAGAATGTCGATATCAACCAAGTCGACGAGGTGGTCCCCGACGAGGACCCGTCGCTGCTGCAGAGCTGGCCAAGAAAAGAGCTCGCCGGTTGGCTGAAAGGTCTTGGAGTGATATCCGGAATGGTGGTTCTGACTATCCCCATGACAGCCGTATCAGGGAGCCTAATCTCCTGCAATTGGATTTCTTATCGCCAACAGAGTCATTACAACAGCTGCGCAGCAATTCCCTCGAAAATAACTGCACAGAAATCTCATCCCCACTCCACGGTCTCGGAGATGCGGTGGAGAATGTCCTGGGATCTATGGCGGTACCCAAGTGGAGTATCAGAGCCTATCAATGTGATCAAGATCTGTACGTTGCTAGTCCGTAAGGCAACTTGCTAGACTGAAGAACTGATTTTCCCCCTTTCGCGTGTCTTCGTGGGTTCAGTATCAACGCATACTACATTTACATACACCCTTACCTTCCCTTTCTGCCCCCTCCGGCGGTGCCTCAGTATGAGGATAAGTGTGTGGCAGTTGCCATCCGGTCTACTTTCGTGGCTCCCACGGAGATGCCGTACTGGCCTGTCTCGCCGCTTGCACTTGCTCTGGCAGGAATATTAGTTCTGCTGCCTGTACCTGGGGAGTCGCATCCACCAGAGCATGAGACAATTGCACTACGACGTTCCTATGCTGATTTATTTGCACGCTCCGCGTTGGAGCTTCTGGAGGATTCAATCGAATCATCCTCTGAGGGTGATATGGCCAAAACCTTGCGAAGCTCTTTGCATCCTGCGGTGCCCAGAAAGCTAGAAGCGGTCTACGCATTGGGGATCCTCAGCTTATATGAATGTTGTCAGAAGGGGAACATCTCGAGGATGCGCATTCGGGCTAACCAGGCTTTGACTGTTGCTATGGACATGTCACTGCACAAGGGTACTGCCCATGACAATTGCTCAGATGCGCAACGCCGGTGTTGGTGGGCGACGGTATATATCACGCTGATATTGCGCAAGTTTTCTCGTCTGCATACATACTAACAACAAACAGATACTCCTGGTTTATCAGTCATCCATTATGATTGGCTCGGTTGGTCTAATGTGAGTTGTATGATGTGGTTCGTCTGACTGACATGCCGAACAGGCCCCAGTTGTTACCATTGATGACCATCGAATCACAACAGCATTTCCCGAGTTCCGGGGATGTCGTGAGGTAAGCTATCGCCTTGTTTGATTCCCTTACAATTGGATGAAATGATGCGAATTATTGATCTTCGTGTTTATTATTTAGCCATGGCCACTTCTGATGCATGCACAAGAAACTCTTCTCCGTAGCTGCGAGGTCGGACGCCTGCTCATCACAGAGGGTGACCATCCAAACCTATCATATTCCATTCGCGATGAAATCCAGAGCCTGGACTCCCTCATCCTCAAACTCGCAGCCGAAGTCGACCGGTTCCGCTGCGTGACCAATTATGAAGGGCCCGAAGCAGACGCCTCGCGCAATTTATGGGCCATATCCAACGCTCTAATTCAAACAGCCAGACTCATACTTCACCGAGTCCGCGCCTTTCCAGATTGTACGATCCTGACTAACGACTACTACGACTACCTCGCGATCGGCATCAACCAGGCCTCTCATGGGGCAGCACACGATTTTCACCTCTCTACCGGACGAATCGCTGAAATAAACGCCCTCTTCCCTTTCACTGAACAAGAATCAGTCCACATCTGCCTGCATTCCGCCCTCGCAATTTCCCGGATTTTCCGCCGTCTTCCTGTCCCAAGCGCTAGTCGGTACACCGACACTGCTGAGGCCGAAGCCCCTATTCCTTGGCTGTCATGGCAACCTTTGGCCTCTCCACGCTCAGTACCTTACCTAGCTTGCTGTCAGCTCCAAAGCTTTGGTATATTGGCAGTCGTGCTGTGCCGCGTGCGAATGGCTACACGCTCTGGTAATTTGGCTAGCTACTCATATTTACTTGACCGACCTGGTAGTTGTTCGACTCGGGTGCAAGACGCGGAGCGCTTGATAGAGGAGCTACAGTCGGGGATGGAGGCTCTGGGGCGCTCTATTCAAGCGGATACGGTCTTTGAGGGAATTATAGGAGTAGCTAAAGAAGTGAAGAGGATTTGGAAACGCACTGTCATGGACTGAGCTGTTAGAGATTTGGCAGGATAATGCCGGAGCCGTGAGGATATAATGTTAGTATAGTAGATATTATTTTCCCTTTCTGGTTCTCAATATTTCTAAACGGTAGTTCCATAACGCATAATCTTTCGGCTGAAAGAATGATAGCCCCGAAATCTAAAACGTGGAACGAGAAAGAAAAAAAGGAAAAGGAGGGAAAAAAAAGGGTGGGGAAGTGGCGGGCCTCGGCGATTGAACCTGATAGCGGCGATTGATAGATATACCCGCTTCCTTTCGGCCATCTGGGGCATTCTCGGGTTATTCTTTTGCTTTTTATTCTCTCCCGATGGATTTGGCACGCAGTACATATAGCAAATTTTCGACAGGATTGCTTCATATGCATGCACCGAGGATAGGGCCCGATACTTAGCAATTGGTGATGTTCCAGTGTAGGATAGTCAGCCTAATAGTGGATGTCATAATTGAGAGCTCTCCGCGTTACCGCCGGGAGAACAGACAAGCCGCATAGTATAGGAGGCATTGAACTGCATGAGTATGTGCTCGGTGGATCTTTCATTATGGCAAATTCATAGGACTGTATTGATTATCTTGGCATGGGCCCTATGCTTGGTTTAGTAGTCGGTTAGTAAAGCCATGGGAGCTGAGCTATAGTATTAAAGAGAGTGGATATTTGGCTTTTTTTTTTTTTTTTTTTTTCTTTAGCTGTGCTGATTTCTTAGAAGTTGTATTATCCGCTTACTACCAGTCTACATGATTGTATATATACTGGAGCAATCTTCACGAGAACCACCCCGTCTAACTTTTCCTAAGCTGACAGACTAAGAAATAGTGTCGAGTTCAGGCATCCATCCACTTCTGAATCGAAACCACTATGAGCCCTCCATCAGAGAAAGTGATTCTATCCGAGACGGATCAAGAGAGTGGTGAGTATCCCACTCTGGTCGACTTCGATGGACCAGATGATCCTCTTCTCCCGTTCAACTGGTCCATTACGCGGAGGGTTTGGGTCACTTCAGTGGTGGCTATACTGAATCTCATTGGAACGGTGGCCAGCAGCATATTCGAAACTGGCAATGAGACATTCATGCAAGACTTCAAAATTAGCCATGAAGTCGCTGTGCTGGGGACGAGTTTATTCTTAGTAGTAAGTAGCCCGTTCATTCGGTCATCTACCTCCCTTCCCAAGTCACTTTGTTCCAGAAACGCATGGTAGAGATTGACTAAATAAATTCAGGGCTACATATTCGGCTTTCTCACCTTCGGCCCTCTCTCCGAGCGATTCGGCCGCAAATGGCCCATGTTACTAGGAATCACCCTCTCGTCGCTCTTCGACTTGATGCCCGCCCTCGGGCACAACCTTCCCACCGTCCTGCTTGGTCGATTCTTTGGCGGGCTATTCGGCGTTGCGCCAGTCGCGATATTCAGCGGTGTGATTAGTGACTGCTGGCCAATGGCTCATCGCGGGATTGCCATGGCATTGGCAGTCTCACTCGTCTTCTCAGGACCTACGTTTGGTCCTGTTTTCGGGGGGTTCATCATGTCCTCTTCGACGCTCGACTGGAGATGGAACATGTGGGTAGTTATCATCGTGGGACTGGGGGCGTCGCTGCTCTGCGCATTTGTCTATCCGGAGACGTACGCACCAGTGATTCTGCGCAAGAAGGGGCAGGCACTTAAGAGGAAGACAGGTAATCTGGATATCAAGACCGCAGCAGATAAGGAGGGGATTAGTCTGCAGGAGATTGCAAGGGCCTATCTGATTCGACCTTCTTGTGGGTTATTGCCATCATCGAGGGCTATTAATGGGCCATCTAACAAGAAAATTCAGGGCTCTTCACCACGCAACCCATCCTCGCCCTCCTCACCCTCTACCAATCCTTCATCTACGGCGTTCTCTTCCTCTTCTACCAAACCTACCCCGTCGTATTCGGCGAGGACCGTGGCTGGCCCACGGCCCTCAAATACCTCCCCCTTCTGGCCATCATCTGCGGTGTCTTCGCTGGCGCTTTCGGCATCATCATCCACAACCAAGTCTACTTTCGTCACCACTGCCACGCTCCCGACGGCGTCACCTTCGTCCCCGAAGCCCGTCTCCCGCCTATGATCGTCGGCGGCATCTTGGTCCCCATTGGGATGTTCTGGTTTGCAGGCACCGCTACGCCGGCCACCATCCCCTGGCCCAGTGCCATCTGTGCAAGCTTCTTGATCGGCGCCGGCATGTATTTGCTCTTCATTCAGGGGTTTAACTACATCGTGGATAATTATACCAGTATGGCGAATAGTGCCATGGGTGTTAACGGATCCATGAGGAGTATCTTTGGGGCGGCGTTTCCTCTTTTTGCTAATCAGATGGTGGATGGGCTGGGGGTGCAGAGGGCGACCATCGTTTTGGCGGCGATTTGTGTGGCTTTGGTGCCGGTGCCGGTTTGCTTTTGGTATTGGGGGGATAGGATTAGGGCGTGGTCGTCTGCGAAGGTTCCTGATAATATATGAGGGGAGGTTGAGTCCTGTTGTGTCGTGTGTGAATCGGCCTTTTTTTTTTTTTTTTTTTTTTTTTTTTTTTTTTTTTTCCCTTCCTTCTTAGAGAAGTATGTTTATAATTATAGAGTAATTAGATCACTGATAATTGGGGAATGAATCATGGGTACTCTGCAGTTAGATCTTCGGGCCGCGGGGTTCGGCGACTGGGTCGAGTTCCGAAGGGATTCAATTCGCGCTATTTGTAAGAGGAATTGAGGTGTTCGTCAGACAGGAATGAAGCTTATAAATACGTATCAGTATACATTAATATTATGAGAAAGAGCAAGCCCTCCCAATCTTCAGTATCATCTGGGAGAGGATGATGAGATCTGATAGGGGAGACCAGTTCTAACACCTACTCTGAGTATACACTGCGAACGTCTGTTCCCGAAGCTTTCTGAGTATTGTAAACTCCTTCTCATTCCATTTGTGACAATTGCAATGAGTTGTGATAACTCGGGCTACGTAGGTTCAAAATCAGGCCCATAGATTGTGAGAGGATGACTCGATGGCTCTCACTTCGGTGACTGATCGGCGTCTGAAAACTCAATCTTATCGTCGTCGCATGTGTCCCCACACCCTAACCAATTGATAATCGTATGGCTTGATCGAGGCTCCGACTACGGAGGAGGAGTAGTAGTAGTAGAAACAATGGTATCTTCCACTGTTAATGGTACCGTATAAATACCACTCTCCCTCCATGCATAATTCTATAGCGAATTTACAGGCATAATCCTTAATCTTTTCCAAATCAATCTTCTACTGCTACTACTACTACTAGTCTGAACCCATCCATGACCATGACCCTCACAGCAATCCCCGCCAGCGAGCCCTACTTCAACCTCGGCGCCTACTCGCGGAACGTCACCACCACCAGCGAAGATGCGCGCATCTGGTTCAATCGCGGCCTCATCTGGGTCTACTCCTTCCACCACGGCGAAGCCGTGCACTGCTTCGAGCAAGCCATAGCCCACGATCCCACCTTCGCCATGGGCCACTGGGGTCTCGCCTACGCGGTAGGCCCCAACTACAACAAAGCTTGGGAGCGCTTCGACCGCAAAGACCTTCACACCTGCGTACAACGCGGCCATGAAGCCTCACGTAAAGCCCTCGCTCTCTCCCAATCCACCAACGCCACTCCTCTCGAGCAAGGCCTCTGCAAAGCCATAACCGAGCGCTTCCCAACCCCGACTCCCCTCCAACTCGAAACCTACAGCGCCGTCAACCGGGCCTACGCCGCCGCCATGAAGCCCATCTACGAATGCTTCCCTAACGACCTCGACATGGCCGTTCTCTACGCCGACGCCCTCATGAATATCACCCCCTGGGCCCTCTGGGACCTCTTCACAGCCCAACCCAACCCCAAAGCCCCCACCAAGGAAGTCCAATCTGTCCTCGAATCCGCTCTCACCTCCCACCCCCACGGACAAGCCTACTCCCACCCAGGCCTCCTCCACCTCTACATCCACTACATCGAAATGTCTCCGACCCCAGAAAAGGGCATCTACGCCGCCGACCACCTCCGTGATCTTGTCCCCGACGCCGGCCACATCCACCACATGCCCACGCACCTCGACATCCTGATCGGCGACTGGCGCGCCTCTATCCGGTCCAACTACCGCTCCACTCTCGCGGATGACCGCTACGCTGCTAAAGCCGGCCACAACAACTTCTACACCTTCTACCGCCTCCACGATTACCATTCCCTTATCTACGCCGCCATGTTCGCAGCACAGAAACGTACCGCCCTCGATGCCGTCTCCCGCATGGAAGCCAGCATCCCAGAGTCTCTCCTGCGCATGACATCGCCCCCTATGGCTGACTGGATCGAGCACTTCGTCGCCATCCGTCTGCATGTCATGGTCCGTTTTGGCATGTGGGAGGAGCTTATCAATGACACCTCTCTCCCGGAGGACCAGGAGCTGTATGCCATCACGACGGCTACAACCCACTATGCCCGTGCCCTCGCCTACGCCGCGACCAACGACGTGCCCTCCGCCCGTACCGAAGAAGCCCTATTTCTCGCAGCCCGGGAGCGCGTCCCTGCTACCCGCCGCGCGTATAATAGTAAAGCCCGCGATATGCTGGCGGTGGGAGTTGCTATGCTGAAGGGGGAGATAGAGTACCGAGCAGGGAACTATGAGACGGCATTTGCGGCGTTGAACGAGGCGATTGTGTTGGAGGATCAGTTGCCGTATAGTGAGCCATGGGCGTGGATGCAGCCTGTTAGACATGCTTATGCGGCGTTGAAGCTGGAGCAAGGGGAAGTGGAGGAGGCGGCGAGGGTGTATAAGGCTGATTTGGGGCTGGATGAGTCGTTGATTCGTCCCAGGAGACATCCGAATAATGTTTGGGCGTTGCATGGGTATCATGAGTGTTTGGAGAGGTTGGGGAGGGTCGAAGAGGCCAAGGCGATTGAGGGCGCGAGGAACGTGGCGTTGGCCGGGGCGGATGTGCCGATTTTGGCGTCGTGCTTTTGTAGGTTGGAGGTTTTGAAGGAGAAGGAGAATGGCGCGTGTTGTGGGGGGAATGGGGATGGTCCTGCGCTTTGAAAAGGAGGGGGTGGGAAAGGAAGGATAGGATGCTTTTTTTAGAGGGATTGCGAGGGTTACAAAAATTTCTTTTGGCTTGAAGAGGGATTCAATATCATCATGGTAGTGGTACTAGGTTTTGTCTTAGACAAAAATTGTGTCTAGCATTATGTACTATTTATGTATCGCTGAATTTCCCATTTCAAGGCTTGTTGATATTAATATCTGGGCGTCATCTTTCTCACTGATTTTCCCACACAAAAGTATCATTCTACAGTTCATGAATGTTCTTTCGTGTGGCTTGGTTATCTTTTTTACATCATGTTTAAATCTAAGTATTCTTTCTCTCCCCACTTCGGCCATAACTGAGAGTGTTTAAAACCAGATTTAATGATTTCTAAATCTACTTCAAATATTTGTAACTGTTCATTCCCCTAGTAAAACAGACTTCTTACAACCCTTATTCCTATGTTTCCTATAATTTCAACTATCTAGAACTACTACTATGGGTACGTGATCCATCTTGTCCTGCACCAAAGGCATCTGCCTGACGCCATTTCAGCCAATCACATCAACGGGATCTACATCCTCTTCAACCACGCCTTTTAAGGCCCACTCCTGTTCAGGTCTGTCTCCGTCCACAATGGATGTAAACCACGCCCCCCACCTCCCCCACTACAGAGCCGGTTGCCCTTACAATCTAATCCTTATGACATCAACAGAGAAGATAAGAAAGCCAAACAAGGTAGTGGATATTGACAGTGAGGGCGGACAGGTTAAAGGGTTTTTATTTGGCTGATTGCAAGGTCAATGATGGCGGTGTTGTTGTGTATGCGACAAAAAAGGGGTGTGCGGAGAGGCTATGGAGTGTGAGTGAGGAGCTTGTGGGGGAGACATATGATTTTTAGATGTGTGCTGGGTTTTACTGTTGTTGGCGATGATAGTAGAACAGAGAGTGAGAATCTGATTCTTGATGCTATGTCTGGTTACAGTAGCCCAACATAAATAGATCGAGGTAGGATTGTTTCTACCGTAAAGTAGTATGCTAAGAGCAAATCTAGACAGCAGCTCAAATAAAGCATCCAAAATTTAAGAATAAGTCGAATTAGTCTTGATTCTTACGCTGTCCATATAACCTGCAGTGGACCCGGAGATATTCAGGTGCATTAGCGCTAAATTTCAACCCAGAATTGGAAGAAGGAAAATACAGCACCAAGGTTGCAGCATTCCTTGGCAGTTGCGGGAGATATTGCGTGTAGGATAATTGAAGTCACGGGGTGAAATTGGGACTATGAAACGCGTGCGTCTACGTCTATAGAGGTGTAGCACATGCATATTTAGTTTAGTGGTGACATTGCTGTTTTACCTTGGAGAAAAAGCATCAGATCTGATCTCTCAATGCCCTACTGAATAGTACCATTCTTCCCTTGCCTTTCCTCTTATAAACTCGCCACGTAATCATTCGACAATCTCACATGGATGCTTCAAATCAAGTCAACATCTCAAGCTTTCCCCGTAGTAACCTTCCCAGTGCACCATCGTCTTCTATCAGATCAGCCAGGCTGATTGCCTTTCCGGCCCATCGTCGACAATGCATGTCTGCCGCGGCGAGATAGTAATCCACTGCTCGATTAAATGCTACAGTTGACAGCCATCGTATCTCATCTTCTGGATACCCTGACAGTGACCGCTTGTTATCGTTTCCGGTTTCAGTCTGCTTTCCTTGAGCCAATATGAGGGCCTGATCGAGAATCGACTCTGCGAGCTGGTACTCTGCTGCGTCGAGGGAGAGTTGGAATAAACAGCGAATATAGCGCGGAAGGGATTTGACGATGAAGGTTGATTTGTCTAGGAAGGGGGATGGCGAGGCGTGGAGGGTGCGGATTAGGGTCTGTCATATGTTGCGTTGGATGGTCAGCTTGCGTGTATGGATTCTTGAATGTTAGGTGGTGGGGAGGAATGTGAAGACCTGGCTGGTAGCAAGCGGGAAACAAGTACATACATACCTTGACTGCTTGCACTTTAGGCTTCAGTTGAGCATCAGAGCGGAGGATACGGTCTAGAAATACTGAGCTGAGTTTCTCGTCTATAGATGGGCTAGATTCTTCAACGATTGCGCAGACACCCGTCCAGTCATTCAGGAAGGTTGATGCCTCAAGATCGAGGGCGAAAATGGTGCGGTGTTGTGAGAGAAATCTCTCATATCGAGGGTTATTCCTGTTGTTTTCAATTTGCTGACTCTTGAACTGCTCTCTGAAGTGTGTACTGATCCTACGTATAGCGCTGTAGTGCCTTTGCTGGATACTATATTAGACTCTACATAGTAGGAGGTCAGCTGAGAGCGAACCTTTTCGGCGGCGCCGATTTCCTTGCGGGCTTCTATCGTAATTCTGGCTATTTTGAGAGAGTCGCAGAGGAGATAGTGTTCTGATAGAACAATGTGCTGTTTAATATCAGGGTGTTGGCAGGTTTCGGCGAACTATGCTATATTAGAAGAAATCCACTCGCTTCGGAAGGCTTATACTTGCTTTGATAGAGATGTCTAGTAGATGCATGACGGGCTCTAGACTTGTTGCTCTGAATACTTTGGATGCAATGCTATAGCTGGCCTTGGCTAGCCATGCAAGCTCTGTAACGGAGAGTATGCAGCTGTCTGGTCCTCCGCGACTTGCAATAACCAATCCTGGCTAATCAGTCAATACCTATTAAGCTGCTACGTGAGACATACCTTGATTCATTAGTATTTGAGCCTTGTTGAGTAATTCTTCACTTTCCCATCCGGACTTCTCGAGCTCGGTGGACACAAGTTGAATAGCAGACATGTTTAGAGATCAGCACGAGTGGCTCAATAGAGAAGGTTAACCATACTGTAACAGCTTCGCGACATGGCATCCTTCTGAAGCAGTCCACTTTACGGACTTCAGGACTTGCTCAAAGCTCTCCAGTCCCTGCTGAGTCTTCCCAAGCCTGAAGGCTTCTCCGATACATGACAAGAGGTAAGGTATGGCTTTTACATCCTTAAGGAGCGACTCGAGATATATGCTTGCTTCTTTGGGTTAGATGTCTATAACGAACACTTGGGGTTACTTACATGCTGTAGGATCGCTGTTCTGCAGACTCAGTCTGTACATGAGATACAATGTTGACGGACATGATCTGCATTCATCGGGCATTCGATTGAATATATCAATCGCTTGTGAGGCATTCGAATCATGAGCAGTACACATGAGAAACTGTCTGCCCCATGTTAGATCCTCATCTGGGACAGATCTAATAGGTGTGGGCCTGCTACCTAAAAAGCTTGGCCTTGTTTGCAGCTGAAATCTGAACCATTGGCTCTTCGAACAAACAAAGACACCATTGACCTGCTACTGATTTATCGTCATTCGAGATTGCGTTATTGACATGTTTCCAGATAAGCTGTATTTCTATGAGCCAAAGTATAGTAGCTGGAGCTGTGGGAAGGGCTAGCGTACAATAAGTGTTGCTTCTGTTGCCGCTTTACTCAGAGGCTGTTTATAATGCCTTTTCAAGCTGGTAATTGTCTCCTGGAAGATTTCGAAGCTAGTCCTTGCACATTTCTCTGAGCGCGTTAGTACATAGACGAATGCTATGAAGACTTTCTCGAGTGAAATTTCGTTGTTAGGGAGAAGAATGACCTGTTCGAGCAGTTGCTTGAGCATACTGATGGAGACCTCGGGACTGGTTACTTGTCAGATGAGCAGACAGATGTGACCGGTGCGCTCACGATGTATTAAACAGCTTCTGTATATAATACATGATGCTACACCCACTTTGTTAGTACCGGACGGCGTACACGAGTTCATATTGGCCATTACATTGCGAGGTGTGAGTCTTTAAGCTCAGGCGATTCAATGGTACTTTGTAGCACTGTTAACTCTTATGTCAGTCGAAGAGGGAAAACAATCACGAACTATAATTCAGTCACCTTGCGAAAAGACAATCTCATCTGCTCCTTCCTTGTCCAGCATCTCAAGTTGGATGACCTGGACAGGGAACATGCCACCGTAACGCTGTTAAATATTAGCAATATATAACAACTGGATATCAAGACTTACGAATTTCAATGCATCCAGAGCTTCAGAAAGGAAGCCACTGTGCTCTTCAGGATCAAGATGAAGGCCGGCACGAACTATTCTTTGTGAACAAACTTAACTTTGTCATCAACCAGGAGCACCCTACCAGAAGCATGAAGTATCAAGAGCTCTTTATCCTTGTTTGACAGTATCGATGCCTGTTGCATATGCCTAATGGACTCACATGCCCTCAACGCTCTTTCTAGCCACTTCATAGAGACATCATACTGCTTGTGTGAAATCGCACAGTTACCGATCTTATAGCATATGTCCATGACACGTTCTTGACCCCTGCCATTATCAGATACTGGTATCTTCGAGAACAAGTGTTCTGCGATGTCGAGTCTTCCCTGCAGCCAGGCCTACTTAGGTCCCAGCTGTCAGTCTGATGTGTATTATTACAGACGGGTAGACCATACCAAGTGGGCACGAATCATGTAGTACTCGATGGTATATTGTTGAAGCTTAGAATTTTCGACATCGCTTTCATATCTCTCAAGTTTATCTAACCGCACAGCTGCGACTTCGATGATTTTCTGGCTTAGACTGAGACAGTCGTTGTCTATATGCAAGATGTTAGAGCTACGTGCAAGGGAAATTGGAGAAAGCAACAAGGATCTGCTCTTACCTATGCACGTCATTGCTATGCTGAAGGCTGCCTCTAAGGCCCTGTTGCTTCCTGGTAATATTAGCTTTCTCGAATCCTTACAATAGATAAGTGTGTTATACTTACCCTGGCCTTGATATGGTGCGGCATAGTCCAACATCGCGTAAGCGAATGCCTTCACTATACTGTACTCAGCGAAAGTCTGTGTCCTTGGGATCCCACAGTAGTACCTTTGCACGCAAGGAGAAGGTCTTCACTTCTGTCTCTATAGACAGTCATGAGTTGCATGCAAATATTCCATAGCTTTGTTCCTTCTTGGTCAAACCCGCGACGAGTCGGAGACGAGGGACTCGCTGGCAGCAGAGGAAAGTGCTTGAATTGCCGATCCAGTTGAGCCAAGATTTTATCATCTAGACCAAGATGAGGCTTCTTTTGGTCGATAACGAGACTATTGGTTAGCTCAGCTGCGAAGTCTGTTGCTTCGTTCTTAGTAGATGAGGCAATGAGAGGTATGAAACGGCATGCGGGAAAGGTGCTGCACCTAGAACGACGTCCATGTGTGCTTTTGAGCTGTGATGTGTCATGTCAATAGCAGCGCTTGTGGTTAACTCTAGTCGTTGTCCTAATGGCTTTAAAGATGAGGAATGTAGTGCTACGGATACTCGGTCGACACCCGAAGCGAAGTACGAGATGACACCTGACCTATCTAGTCCATTTTCGGTTCGCGTTGCAAGACCACAATTAACCTTCCCTTGGAAACGAGTCACGCCTTGAAGATGTTATGGTACATTTTTGAAGGCCGTATAAATCAATGACAGAAGGGTATGAAGGAAACAATATCGCGAGGCTCCTCCATCAGAAGGGCCAGTAAGCACCAAGAAAGAAGACAGTAACCAGGCATCAGCCCACGCGAACATTTGCTGGGCAATGATAGAGAAATAAAATGATAAAAAAAAACTCCAGGGCTTATTTGGCCTTTCGCTGTGACGGCAGGAAATTCCCAATAATGAGTGATGGGCTATATCAACAGCAGTTAGCACCTTGCCACCGCGTCATCTGATGAGCTCACTCACATGTTATGGGTATCTCTTCGAATAGTAAACGAGAAGCAACAGGGGATCCCATCTCCGGGGGAGTTGGAGTTGGGATTCTTTAGGGTGCAGCTTGTGAGCATGGCTTTTTGCGTGTTATCAAAAGCAATAGCTCCGAATTTCTCCCAATAGCTCACTAGCTGATCTTCCACGATGATCTCGTGGATTGCAAGCTTTCCCTGAGTATGACAGTCATATTAGATTTTTGTCATAGAGATTTCTGCAGAATGCACTTACGTCTCGGAGAGTCTCGATTGGTACGCCGATCAACTCTGCCATTTCTTTGTTGCCACGGAATATTTCACCCGTTCGTCTCCAGCAACAGGCAGGAATGGCCATACTAGCAAAAACTCGATCATATTCCATCAAGCTTCTTTCGAACCACATCTCCACGAGGATGAGCTCAATGTCGGTCAGGCTCTGCATTCGCTCCCGGAACTTTGGCCGGAATTTATCTAATTGTCGGAGGATCTTCTGCCGCGAGGCTTGTTGCAAGTGTCGCTCCATATATTGATTCAGCCTGGCATAACCCTTGACGTAGTTAAATGGGCGAAGAAGTCCCGCGTCGTATTTCGCTTTGAGAAGCTTGTTCATCCGCTCCTCTGGCGGGTCGGACCCTGATGGATCTGCTGCGGTCATGTAATAGGTCTCTCTCGCCTTATCATTGCTCACTGCAGGCGTAGGCCCTTGTAAAGGCTCGCCCTGGGCCTGTTGATTCGGTTGAGGTTGCGCAGGTTGGGACTGCTGAAGAAGGCTTTGATTCGAATTTCCCAGAGTCGCCATGGAATTGAGTAACGACGGGTCCGAGTAGATTCCCTGCAGTTCATCGTTCTGGAATACTCCTCCATCATCCAAGAGGCTATTGCTCAAAAAGTCACCAAGAAGGTTGTACTCATTAGTGACCTCTGGTGCATTGAACATGTAAGAAGGGTGAAACGTGTGCATGTCCTGAAACTGGCTTTGTCCACCAATCCATTCGTTGTACCCAATCACTACCCAATGTTATTATGATACACTGGACAATTTTATAAGGGTGGCACTCACTTTGCTGTTGAGCATTAAGACCCTGGCCAGAAGAAGCCATGTTGCCAGGCTGCTGCACAGAAGTCACAGAAGAGGTGGGTAGGCCGATGGTCCCGTCGGGTATGATTTGCTGGCCTGCAGCATCTGGGCCGTCGACGTTTCTGGGCATTTGAACGCCGGAGTACTCATTATTAGAAGAGCCCTCGTCATCAGCGGCCGAATGATCGTTTTCGCTCCGTGACCGTTTTGAGGGTTCCCGAGGTTCATCGTGGCAAAGGTGGCCAATATTCCGTTTTATGCATCGCGTGCAGGGTCGCTCCTACATTTCCCGCAAAGCAACAACCGTCAGCAACTGGAATCTCGAAAAGTGATTGCACTCCATGTTCCACGGGAATGCGCTGGAGGGTAGAGCTCAGACGGGTCGTACCGAGTCGCAAGTCATATGCTGTGCCACGCGAGCGAGTGTCTTTCAGTTAGCAAAGTACTCCTCTATACCTTGAGCCCAACAACTATCAAGGACGATGTCGGCTCGTGTTGACTGAAGTGAGGGGCGAGGAAGGTAATCTTGTTTGAGGGGAAAGACTTTACCGATCGTCGGCAATAAACGCATGCTACAAACGTGGCACTCTGGTTAGCATCGTGGTCGAAACAACAAGGTAAAAATGCAAGTCGCTGCCTGGATCCTTGTAGGATGCATAGCAAATAGCGCCATACCATGATTGACTTTGCGACGTTTCTTAGGACTTGAGTGAGCCCCCGCGGCGGCACCATCCGCCTTGAGGGACGGTGTATTCTGCGAGTTGTCTTTCGCACTCGCATCTGCCCCAGTCTGCTCCTCCTCCGTCACATCCGGTTTTGTTCTATCTGCTGTCCCATTGCTGGTTTGTTGATCGGGGCCTGGACCCGTTGACGCCGCAGTTTTCTCCGTCATTGATCGCTAGGCGCAAAGGTGTTGCGCAGGGTTCGGTTCGTGGTTACCACTGTTGCTGTCGATCGGAACACAAACGGGGAGCAAAATAGCCGTCTGCAGACATTCGACTGGGCTTGAATGGACCGATTAAGCAGAAGGGTGAGGGGATCGGGCTGATCTGTAACGTGAAAATGTGAGGGCACGCGCGATGCGATCGGCTCATCGAAGTTCCCCGCTGGTGCGGGACTTGGATCTTTCATTTCCCGGGCCCCTCCGCATTGGGGCCGGCAGCGGCGAACCGGTTAGTAGCCTCGGAAAAGCATATGAGCGGCTAACTCATGTGCAACACTATCCTCACTGCAGAAAGCAAAGCAGCCAATATCAATTGTTTGAGTCGCGATCACGTAGATACACAATCAACAGGATCCTCGTATTTCTGATGTTGGTATATAGAACGACTATCTGTTATGGGAAATAGCTACAAGGGTTCTACCTCGGTTAACTCGCTCCTAGCATATGCAGCCACATGTTCCTACATTAAGCTGTTCTGTAGAGTAGGCAATGGAGTAATTTGTTTCCTCTTCAGAATTAGGTGTTGTATTAAGTGGTTTTAGGGTGGCAAAAAACCCGTAGATGATGCCTCATTAGCATCCCCAGACACGACCTTCCTCTAAGCCCACTGGACATCTTTCCCTATAGTCAACTGGTGGGGGTCCGCTGTCAATATTTGGCTAAACTCCACTTGAACCTAAAGAATTCCCAGAGCCTAATTCCTGACGAGAACGTGGTAGGACGCTATGAGGGCTTAGCTTGTCCTGAATAGGAGGACTAGGTCTCCAAGGCGCGGGAATTCGTTTAGCCCCGTATAGCACTGGTGTCCCGCCAGGGGTTTTGCACACAGTTGAGACGATAGCCATTCCAGGTAGCGTCAAAACTGGCTCGCAGGTACCTTGGTCCATTGCATGATGTCGAATACCGTCCTACGCATGGACTCGTTTTCCAAGCTGTCTTAAAGACTGGCATGGGCTTGCATCTTTCGATATACGCACCACATGTCGTACACGCTGTAACAGCACACTCGTTCTGAACTTGCCATTGATGCAGAATTCTGTAAGTTCAGTCTTCGGGCATGAAAGTCAGACTTAATGCTGCATGTGACCTGCCAATTGCGTCCTTCAAACCAGCGACGGGTGCGGTGTTGTTTTGCATTGACTTCAGATGTCCAGTCAGTTGTTTCAAGATATTCGAGACTTCTGGGTCATTTTCAAGCTAAACACGGTATGTCAGCAACGGACATCAGGCGAAGGTACAAGGGGAGCTGAAAACGCACCTCGTCGAACATCGTCTGGGTTTCTTTTCCTCCCGCAAGGGTAAACTCGGTCTGCTTCTGATTATACTCATCAGGCAAGCTGTCGACCTGCCGCAGAACAGGATGTTCCTAGAAAAGATCAGCGTAAAATTCATGAGTTATTCGCATCAAGGTCACACTTACGTTCTTTGATTGCCTCTTCCTCTCCGCTTCCGCCCGCTTCGCATTCCTCTCCATCTCCTGAAGTTGCTTTTTCTCTCTTTCGAGCATAGCTTCTTCCTTTTCGACTTCAGCCTTTAAGAGATCAATACTATCAGTCACTGTGGCTAAAGTAGCTTCCAAGGAGCACTGCAAAATATGTCAGTTATACCTTGTGGCAAAGAGGTTTAATTGAGCATTACTTACATGTTCCTTGAGCGCTGCCTCGTACTCAAAGACAGAGTCTTTCGTAACTGGAGGAAATGGCATGCGCGGAAGCCTTTTTCCTAGACTATACAGTTGGGAAATACAAATTAGTATGATCATTCTCCTCGAGCCAAAAGGCAAAGAACTATACTTTTTCACAACAGCCTGAACAGCAGCCTGTGCTTCGATACGTTTGCCCTCGTTCTGCTGTCTTACGATAACCGGACGCTCCAGGGCCCGAAACATGTCGCGCACCCTGTCTTGAACAGGCTCCGGAAGTGTGGACCACTTGGATTTGATGGTCCTTTCGGAGACCTGCCGGACCTGGGGCTTCAAGTAGGCGTAAGGCTTGTTGCGCGCCTCACTCCTTTGCTCGGGTCCATTGCTGGAATGCTTCCGCTTAGGAGGCATGTTTGACCTGTGAATTATCCTATAAGTGAGAGAATGATTTGGATTATATAGCTTTGATCACTTTTGATGTAGGTACACCCACATGCCCAGACGGAAGCCGGACGTAGCGTCATCATAATAAACGCGCCGTTGGCCCGTTGCTGAGAAGATCACATGACCAGATTGGGTATCCCGGATCGCGCTAGGCCCCCTGGAGCTAGTGGGGCCACCCCGCGAGTTAGTAAGTAGCTCTGCCCCTGGCTGTGGGTTATCGCTGCTATCTATTCATCTATCTACAACGGCATCTTTCAAAGTTCCTCTACTGTCCACGTGGGCATACTGAATGAAGTAGCATACGAACATCGCATCTTGTATATGTATATCTGTTGAGCACCAGACACCCTGCATCCTAGTGGTTGGATATACGATTTTGAAGCCTAATGGTTCCTTACCTCACTTGGATAAGTGATTAGGAAACAATGGAGACAGTGCATCAATGAAGAACGGGAAGATCTCGTGGGAGAGCTTATTCTCTCAACATTATGCATGCATCAAACTAGATCGATGTGGTATTCAAAAATTAAACCATTATCGCCAATCCAAGTGGGTATTATGGGGTGACATGTAATAGGCCGGGATAATTAATGTGACGGCAACCAGGTGGGCGGTACATCACACCCCTGGTCGATGGAGGAATCAAGGCCGTGAAATCAAACGCCTGCATTTCCGTTTGAACAATGCGCATCCTTCCAGAAGATCGCTGAACTGCTTCAATGTACAAATGGGTGGAGATCAGCCAATGCCTTCGATAGAATAAGAGTTATGATCATGGTCGCATAATTGAAGGTAACTACCGGGGCATCACCAAGCCATTCATGGCTTTCAGCTCCGCTAGCTGTGCTTTGAGTATATCATTGCCGCGCAATACTTCTTCCAACCAGTCGGCCGCCTGCGTGAGCATTGCGCTCTTGCTGAAGCCGCCGCCTTTTAGGCCAGGAACAAGCGTGCACAGATCATCGAACCCTTGTCTGATCAAGTTCCTTCGCTTTTGCTCCGAAAGTATATGGTTGCTTCTTTTCTGTTCTTCGGTCAGGTTCTCTCGTGCGGGCTTTGGACCTTGAGAAAGCCTTGGCTTCCGGACGGCGTCATGTGACATTCGTCTTGACGATGAAGCCTTGGACTTTTTTAATCTTGGCCGCGAACTTTCCTCGTCCGTATGGTCGTCGTCTTCTTCTTCCTTAACCAAAACTCTTTGTTTCTTTTTGGGTTGGGAAAGATCTTCCATGCTGTCTTTGAACTCTCTGCGCAGAGAGCTGAGTTGTCCAGCCGCATCTGTATCCGTCCATGTCGCATCATAGTTTCCAGTGACACGCACTGGACTCGGCGCTCGAGTGTTTGCGGCACTGCTTTGAGCCTCAAAACATGCCAAGTGACCGAGCAATTCTTTCGTGCGCTGCTCTTCATCTGGCTGATCCGGCGGTGCAATGTAACCTTGATCCACGAAACTTTCATCGGAGCCCCAATGAAGTGGACGAACCTTGGCGGTTTGCTGTTGTTCAGGCGATATCGGTTCACGGACATCGAAGAGCATCTCAGAGGTATGATACCCATGGGGCAACCGAGGACGGGATGAGCTGTTGGGCTGTTTCAAGGGCACATGGCTGGGATGCGGTTGAAATTTCCCATGAGTGGACATTCTGAGGCTGCTGAAATCTATGTCCGGAGATGGATATGAATGTGATCCTAAGTTGGTATTGAATTCGGCCCCATGCATCCCATTATGGTATAGCATGGAAGCAGCCGCGAATATATCTGAGTTGGCACCCAGGTTCCCAGGCATCACATCCATAAGCGGCTTGTCTATGCTGCGATGAGAGAGCGATGGCTGTGATGAAAGAGATGTCGTGGACCCTTCGAAAGTCGGGGGGAGGAGCTCATCAGAGAAGTCGAAGTTAGTGGTGCCAAATGGCTTGTTTGACTGACTCGGCAGCCAAAAGTCGCTGGAGAGTTGATTTGAGTTCATCGTAGTGAAGAAGTTATCCAACATCAATGATTCATCGTGATCCAAGAGCGCCGGCCCGGGAGGTGGCGCAGGAGCAATTTCGAATGGGGTATCTGTAGGAGAGAGGAAGGAATCTAGAGCCCCTCAATATTAGACAGGACATGGCAACAACTAAAGAAATCACTTACAGCCAAAAGGGCCAGGCTGCGGACTATTCTGGCCATTATGTTGTCCCGACCGGTTTAGTTCCATGGCGATGATAGTGGATGAGCGAAAGAAGGCAAATATGTAATGTCGCAAAGAAACTCGACTAGCATGTGCTAGTCTTGAATGAGAGCAGCGCCGAAAGACAGTGCCAACATGCCTTGACCGGCAAAGCGGATGCAGGGAAAGAGAATAATGCCCTGTCAGGAATGCGATAACAATATGCCTTCAAATAATTCCAGCGATACCAATCACCAGAAGATAGGAAGCTAGCTAGCTATACGGGACGGTGGTTGCGAAGGCTAGTATCAACGGTCGATGGTGCCGGGAGAGTACGGGCGAATGTCTGGAGGTCTAGGATACGAAACACCGTCAACAAGACCAAATTCACTTGACGGAAAAGGCATCCCCCACATTGAAACTGACAGATAGACGGGAGGGTTGACGGCGGAATCCGGGGATCATGGACGGTGGGGAGAGTAGTAACCAGAGATAGACAGATCGATCGTAGCATTCAGTCAGTCACCACACAAGTTGCTTCTCGTCGCTGGGAATCCGTCGGCCTTTTCAAGGCAATCACATGCAAAATTCTGGCGCTCCGGCGGAGGTCGCGTGACGTAAAGCAATTACCATTGATACGACCAATTGACAGCAAAGCCACAAGGCAAGATCGTGTAATTCTGGTTTCCAGGCTGTATGAATCGGACCAATTTCCCAGTCCGGGGTGACTCGACCTTATCCGGCCCGATCGATTCCCATTTCTGGTGCCCATCCAATCTATCCATCCACCTATCCACATCCCCATTAACATGCAGTCACTGTCTACATTTTTTGTTTCCTCCCTGCTGACAGGAATTCTTTTCCTTGATCATCCCTCACCGAGGCCAGCCATAGAACAGCTCCGTCTCCTCCGATCTGGACGATTCGCTACCATTGTGTCTACTGGAGTCCATACTTTCTTGGCTCCATTACACGAGCTGGTTTCCCCAGGTGACGGATAGCGGTTGGTTGATAAACCCCAAGTTTGGAGCGTGGCATAACGGGGGATCGTCGCCTTCCGCCTGGTCTGTAACCCCTGAACCACACCTGAGTTAACGGCCATTCCCCTCGTGTCTTGAACGACCGAGGTCGAATTTCTAATAGTCCGTCGCACGGATCCGCGGCCGATCCTACATACAAAAAGGGCTGCCCATCACGGAGCACGTACCACTCTGGGTAACCGCCGCGAAGCCAAGTGTTTGTGTTAGTTTCCTCTTTTGTCAAAGATCTTTGGCCCGGCCAGAAATGCCTGGATTTTAGTGCAGTATGTCCTGCCACAATTCCTTTGATTTTCTGCAGGTTTCTTTTATCTCGTTTTGTGGTCATGGTCTCGATCCTGTTATCGGTGGTATACTCCCAAGAAACAGTCTGACGCCAGCAAATAGGTTGTTTCACAACATAAATCGCGACTCCAATGGGACGGTCATGGACTAAATGAGTTGGATGCACCATGGACTCTGTCACCATTATTCGCCAGCATCAGAGCAGTATCCGTGTTCTACAGCCGTAAGTATCGATTGTTCCCATTTCCGGCCACTTCTGGGTGACGTCGAGCGCATCGATTACGGTTCACTAGGCTGCATTGATACTGACCGTTGCAGAATTCTACGCGCATACGCACTTGGTTATTTATCTTCAACTGTCCCTAGAGTAATAATCTGTCTACGGCGAATTCGGGGGCATGGCTTAAGCTTCGGAGAGCAGCTCAAAGAGGTATGTTAATGTACCCCCATTTGCACTGAGACTGCTGCATCTGTGCATCGTTTGTGATCCGTATACACACATGGAAACTTTCGCTGCCCTATCCTTTACATCCAGGATAAAGCCGGTGTACTCACTCTGGCTATGCAGTTGTCCGCCACATTGACAAGTACTCTACGGCTGGATGCTTTCCCAGCGTTCTGTGCCATTCTCGTAGGGGGCTCAACCGTCTTTCCTCTCATCCTCTTCCGATGTCTTGCGCATCTTATTCGTAGGCTGGGTTTAAAACCCGGTCGTTTAAATGCATTGATTCACATGCGACTGGCTAGATTTGTTTCTGCGTTACTATCCGCTTGGTTCAGCTTTAATATATTGAATCAGAGGCCTATCAGATTGCAGAGAAATTGCGATGATTGTCAAGGTGGTACTGATTCGAAAAATGCTGCAGAGCAGAGAAAGCTCAGACCGGAGCCGCATAGCCGTCCCCAGTTGGCAGGTAGAACCATGGACCTTACCCTTTTCAGCCTTACAAGAGCAGTCGATTTGGTGGTCTACATGGGTTGGGCAAATTGGCGGCGATGGCGAAAGTCCAGGGGTCAGTGGACTCTAGTGGAGCGTGTTGCTCCCCAACTCACAGATGCGGGTGTGTTTGCCACGAGCGCAGCGATAGTGATGTGGGCATGGTTTTATATGCCTGAGAGACTACCAAGATCTTACGGTAAATGGATAGGAGAAGTAGCAAAGGTGGATGGCCGCCTGATCGAAGCACTTCGCCGTGCTAGGCAAGGTGTCTTTGTGTACGGGAAAGACACCGGGCAAGCACCACTACTTCAGTCCATGTGCAAAGATTATAATTGGCCCGTGGAATGGGGAGACCCTTCCAAGACCATCCCGATACCGTGTGAGATGGTCCACATGGGTAGTGGTCATAGCTGTGAAAAGCATGCTCTGTCTCGATTCACTCGAACGTTCAAGTTCGCCTGTGCTACCTACATCCCTCTACAGATCATCTTTCGTTTGCGGTCAGTAAAGTCCCTGTCATCACTCAAACAGCCCATAACTGCCGCCTTGCGCTCGTCTGCCTTCCTTGCTTCATTTGTGAGCTTATTCTACTACTCCGTCTGTCTTGCGAGAACAAGGCTTGGCCCCAAAATATTTCACCGTGGTATAGTAACTCCAATGATGTGGGACTCTGGGCTTTGCGTCGGCGCCGGATGCCTGATGTGCGGTTGGAGCATACTCGTGGAGAGCGCACGGAAGCGACAGGAGATTTCATTATTTGTGGCTCCCAGGGCTGCCGCAACTGTTCTGCCAAGATACTACGAGAAACAGGTGAGTTAAGATAATTTGATATCACCCAGTAGTTGCGAGGCTTGGGGATTGTCACACTCGTCCTGCCGCTCTCTGCGCCATCCCATTCTAGCTTCGTCGAACATTGTACCACTCTCTAACCGTTGTGGCTTATCTAGTATCAACACCGGGAACGTATAGCATTTTCAATCAGCGCCGCCATTCTTCTGACATGTCTTCAGGAAAGGCCTGATATGGTTCGGGGCGTATTTGGTCGGATCGGCAGAAGCGTGCTGGCGTGATTGTGCATAAGCGAATGGCGTTTGCGACTGGACCTTGACTCATAGACTTATCGTCTTTCTTTCGTCACTCTCATTGTATTTATACAGTGTATCATTAGCACGTCTGGTCTGTATTATTATGCCATTATTATCTGTCGAGAACCGAATGGACAAAAGCGAGATATTTAGGCATGTGGGTTTCTCTCCCTCAGGACGGAGCCACTGGACAAACAATCGACATCTTGGTCAAGCTGATTTCCCGCCTAGATAAGATAATCTGATCTCATGTTCTTTTTCTGGTCCATCATGGACGCCCGTTATTGGGAAACCCAAGAATAGAAACCTGACGATGTCATTAGATTCTCAGAGCGTCTAGAAGCTCATCTGAATCCAGGGGAAATCGTTTCATCAATTTTATATGCGTTGTGAAGAGATCAACTATCCTCCACTTCAGTAGTTGGCAAGATAATGGGTTGCTGACAGGGCCAATTTGTAGAACTTGCTTCATCGGATACTCCTGTATCCAGTATGATTCTCAACATGCTCCTTCAGCTGCGACCCATATAAACTGGCAGCACCATGATGTTACAGTACTGGAAGTTCAGTAAACTCCAGTACACCTAGGAAGTGATGATCAAGAGGCGTTCAGCCACAACTTCATTCGTTACTACTATGAACATTTGCTACTAAATCCAAAGGTGGTATATATTATCAATTGTACGGTATCACAGATGTTCAAACCTGCTTTTTCGTTGTCATTCATCCAGGCTTCAATGATATCCACAGATAGCATCAATGAGAAGAACAAGATGCTTGCCTACCTCAAGCAAATCTTCTTAGACAAACTACGCTTGGAGCCCTAGGAAAGTGAATGAGATGCTGAATTTGGTAGTTTGGGATACGATTTCCTAAAACAGACAAGCTCCGGCTATCATCGGGCGCGCGGATCAACCCAAGCGGCACCAAAGGCGGTGAATTATAACCGACAAAAAAGCATTGCCTGATATTCCGTAAAAGTGATTGTATCACGTGCCTCAGGTACCTTATCCCAATCGGAGTTCTAGATAGCATCTCTCCATATCTCCCCGCAGAGCATATAATCATTGACAATGTTCTCGCGCCCGATCTCCTCATGGGGTCGGCTTCCTTGGTCGGGTCCCGGCCTCCGCCCGTCCACCATGACAAATACACGATGTGTTGACTCTGGGAGGAGATTCTTCACTCGCAGTTCATGCCTCCGGCAGAATATCAACGCACCGTTCAATACGCCGCAGTCGCAAAAGCGCAATGCGTCGACGATGTATGTTAAAGGAGCGCAATGGTGTCTGCAGTTCACGTCTAATAGGTTCTAGGTACTATGCGGCCAGTCTTATTCTCGGAACCGTTGCGCTTGCCTATGGCTCCGTCCCTCTGTACAAAATGGTTCGACAAGCCTGCCCTTGAATTCTAGTCTGCGGCAGAGGCTAACGGCTCTATTCTTACAGATCTGCCAACAAACCGGTTGGAACGGTCAACCTGTACTCACTCACCGTGGAGGCGACAATGATACCTCTTCCCGCGTCACTCCGGTCACCGACTCCCGTCGTTTGAGAATCACATTCAATGGATCAGTTTCGGATGTTCTGCCGTGGAAGTTCACACCGCAACAACGTGAAGTTCGAGTTCTTCCAGGCGAGACAGCGCTTGCGTTCTTTACGGCGACGAACAAGGGCCCGACGGATATCATTGGTGTAGCGACGTACAGTGTCACTCCCGGACAAGTTGCTCCTTACTTCAGCAAGATCCAATGCTTTTGCTTCGACGAGCAGAAGCTGAATGCTGGAGAATCGGTTGACATGCCGGTGTTCTTCTTCATCGACCCCGACTTTGTCAAAGATCCGGCCATGAAGGGCATTGATACGATTACGCTCTCATATACCTTCTTCAGTAAGACTCCAGAATGAACCCATGATGGGGTATGTTTGTGGCTAATGAAAGCGAAACAGAGGCGCGATATGATGACAACGGTGTCTTGAAGCCATTGCCGTCGAGCTAATGGCATACCTGATCGTTATACACTGCATACCAGGAGTCAAGCGATTAGACGCTCTATGACAACAGACTCCCAGTAAGATGCTTTTTGAAACGTATATACCCGGAATCACCCTGGCCAGGTGACATCCAGCGGAATGTCCCAGAGACCTGACACGGTCCGATGTGTGACCATCCGAGCAAACTCGGAAGACATATCTCTCCTCTTACAAGGGCCAATCATGAAAACCTGAACCTGGTGGTCCCAAGCACCCCCCCCGACCATCTTTGTAACATAGATAGAGCATGTACATACAGAGACCTACTGAAGCTTTTTGTATGGAACGGGTGGGGTAACAAAATCTTGTATAATAATCGGGCGTTGGAATATGAAATTTGAATAGGCCTAAGGGATTACCGCCATACATTATTTACTTCAACATGGAGAAAAATTCACAGTATTTTCATGGTTCCTTGAGTACTGTACGGAGATCTGCAATGAAATTGTAGGTTTGGACTGATTGGTGAATCCGCTGCACAGTCAGCGTAGCGCACGGACCGCCAATTAAGCTCGCGTGTCACGACCGACGCGTCTGCGCTCGGCCTAAGCTATCTATCGGCTCTGAAGGGAAAGCATACTTCTGAATAGAGACCTAGAAGCTTCAAACCAGAGCACTACACACTCAATCGGCAAAATGGCCTTGCTAGTCGACAAACTGCGACCGCGGTCGCTAGATGCCCTCACATACCACCCTGAGCTGTCCGCGCGACTGAAATCATTGGTAAGACAATTCAAGCCAATACTATGTACCTCGAGTACAATTCTCACAAACATGTTTGTTTTAGGCGCAAAGCGGCGACTTCCCTCATCTGCTCATGTATGGTCCTTCAGGTGCAGGCAAAAAGACACGAACAATCGCGACGCTTAAAGAATTGTACGGTTCCGGAGTCGAAAAGATCAAGATCGACGCCAGAGTCTTCCAAACGACAAGCAACCGCAAGCTCGAGTTCAACATAGTGTCTTCGGTCTACCACTTGGAGATCACTCCATCGGATGTTGGGAACTACGATCGTGTTGTGGTTCAAGAGCTGCTGAAGGAGATTGCACAAACCCAGCAGGTTGATCTCTCGGCGAAACAGCGCTTCAAAGTCGTTGTGATTAACGAGGCCGATCATCTCACCCGTGATGCACAGGCAGCGCTGAGACGGACGATGGAAAAATATAGTCCCAACTTGAGGTTGATTTTGTTGGCGAATAGCACTTCGAATATCATCGCCCCTATCCGGTCCCGTACCCTGCTGGTCAGGGTTGCTGCTCCGAGTGAGGAGGATATCTGCACTGTTTTGAAGAACGCGGCTAAGAAGGAGGGATGGCCTGAGGCGAGTGGGTTGAATAAGAGGATAGCTAAGGAGAGTGGGCGTAACCTTCGTCGCGCGCTTCTAATGTTCGAGGCTATTTATGCTCAGAAGTACGTTCTAGATTGGTTGTCCATTGCGTGCCAGGGCTAACGTGATTTGCTATGGTCTTTAGTGAGAAAGTTACGGACAACACGCTCATCCCACCACCCGACTGGGAAGCGCTGATTGCGTTGATAGCTGAGGAGATCCTGGCAGAGCGGTCACCGGCTCGTCTGTTGCAAGTCCGCGCACGGTTATACGATCTTTTGACGCATTGCATACCACCGACTACCATTATCAAGGTTCGACCAGTTTGGTTCAGGCTTGTAGAACAGAAATGCTAATTGGACTTTAGTGTCTGACATTCAACCTCATTACAAAGGTCGACGATGCTCTAAAGCCCGATGTCATCAGGTGGTCGGCATTCTATGAGCACAGGATCACTCAAGGCAGCGTAAGAGCTTTACTTGCTACATGAACACCCATGATACGTGACTAATACTTTTCGCAGAAAGTAATCTTTCACCTTGAGGCATTCGTTGCCAAGTTCATGCGCATATACGAAAGGTTCGACTGCCCCCTAATACTTCAAGACTACTTGATTGATTTACTAACCTGTGCACAGTTATCTGATGGGCATGGAATTCTAAAATTACGAAAATAATAATACCCAACGATTCTTAATGACTTCACTGTACACTACCGGAGATCTTATCTTATCCGGGCCACTATGCGACTCGTAACTGAACTACCTCCGTATTCCTAGCATGCATTACTCCTGTATCTTTTAAAAAACCATAGCCTTTTTACATCCTGCATTGATTTCATGAACGCTAGAGTCCAAGTCTCAGCTCACAGCGATTCAACCGACATCCAATCAAGTACCTACAAACCGTGCCCCAACCAACAACTACACCCTCGTATCCCCAAACCTGACCACATACATGTGATCGAGGACAAAATCAACCGGAAACAGCCAGGAACAAAACAAAACACGAAGTGGGCGTTACTTCCCCACAAAACCTTGGTAGAGATGACATCTTGATAGTCTAGATGGCTAGTAGGTAGACTACGTCATCGTACCATGGACGATGATCCACCACAACCACAACCATAACCCAGATCCCCCGACTTCTCCCAGAGACTTTGTGAACTACCTAACTATCTTTGAGAAAACTTAAGTATCGTACATAGAAGATATCTACTCTGAATAATGTCTGACACTAATCTCATGGATATCGAGCCTGGTGGTGAGAATACGCAGTACGTCTAGTCTATTATATCTTGTCTTTAGGGAATTCAAGTCATGCTAATGGTTGTATATGAACAGGTATGAATCCATCCGGTTGTATACGGAGACCCCGAAGAAACAGACTGGCCAGTTGGGTGGTAAGTGAACCTATTATTTGCCATGGATGTCCCAAGCATAGGAGCTAAGTTGCTCATAGGCCACTCCCAACATACCGTCAGCGAGATGAGAACTACACTCGGCGACGACCGGAACGAAAACGAGGATCAGTATCGGGATACGCCCCTGGCACGACAGCTGGAAAAGGGCGAGGCTACAACAGGTCTCACGGGGATCACGGATATAGGTAGGTACAGGTTTGGTTTTGATATTTCGTTTTTCCTAACTCCGCATATTCATGTGAAAAATACATCGACACCTGCGACAAGCGGGAAAGAAAATAAATGAAACATGACAGATAGAGAGTCTAGAAGCTGATGATGATGATAATGTACACAAGACCTGAAGCCCGAAACCCCAGAAGAGGGTGCTGCGCTGGCGGCGAAAATCAGGAGAGAACAAGGGTATGGACCTGGTTCGGGCGTCGGGGCTTAGATGTCATGACGTTGTGATTGAACCGGGGTGAATTGGCGTGATTGAGAGGTTTGGTTGAGAGGGAGCGCTTTGAATTATTGGGGAGCAGAGGGACTGGAGGAGGACGAGGTCGAGGTCGGGGGGTTCGGTAGGTCCTGAGTACCGAGGGCCGGGCTTCTGCGTGCGCGTTTGAGGCTCTCCAGAGTCACTCCGTTGCCAAGTTTCGTCAGTCCAACGACCGGCGGGTCACCCTTCTTCACGAATTCCCAGAGGCCTGCAGCCGTTGTATAATTAGTTTACCGTATGTTGATAATTGGAGAATATCATCAGGTGGATGTAACGTACCGGGCAGCTTGTGGCCGGCCAGACGGAAGGCCTCCCTGGCGACCTTTTCGTGCAGATCACCCTTGAGCTCAAAGACAATTCTGCTCACGCCAACCTTCGCCGTCCAGTAGTCGAACTTTCCCTTACCCTTACCCATACGTTGTTCGTTGCCCTTGGTGTAGACACCGATGTTTGCGCTCACGCGCTTGTACAATGTGTAGTTCATACCCCTCAGACGTCTCTTAATCGTATCCTCCGCAATTTTCAACGAGGCAGCGGGCAACCGACGGTCGTGGTCCTTCATCCGCAAGCCATAATCACCCCAGACGACGGTAGTACCGCGGGAAGAACCACCAGTTGCGACATGCGGACGACCCTTAGGGGACTTGGATCTCTCGGCGAACTTAGGGGTAAGCCAATCGAGGGCAGGCGAAGTCGTCGAGAAGCATCGCGATAGAGGGAAAGCCGTGAATGGCGTCGACAGACCTACTGTACGGCATCGAAGTCAGGATATAAAAAACTTTTCTTGGGGAGGCTTGCGGGAATCTCACACGACGGCCGGAGGAAGGCCATCTGAGGCCCCGAGAACATCTTCAGCTGCGGACCCATTGTGAATCGTGGCAATCGGCCCTGCTTGGACTGGATGGGGGACCGGAAGGATGATGGATGGACCGCAGACTGACTTTCAGGCCATCGGCTTCACTCCAGCGCCGATTCCACTTCCCGAAAGGGAAGAAAGTGCTGCGCACGTGCCACACGCGTGCCACCCTTAGGTAAGCCAATTAAGTCACGTCTCCCGCCGGAGAGCTCCAGGCAGCGCGTCGTGTTTCTTGGGAAGCTGCCTGTGGTGTGCTAGTTGGGTGTACGTCAATGCATCGTTTCTCGGTCGCTTAAATATCCTGCACATCCATTGCACTCTGGGGCATGCTCCGTTAATCATCTGTCGCCATGCCTGCTGATATTCGGAGCTTTTTTGGCGGCAAGTCTAGTCAAGGCTCCAACCCATCTCCCGCGAAGCCCGCGCCAAAGAAAGAGGTATGTGAATTTCCCGTTGCGCATAAGCATTTGATATTGCATGCGAATCGCCGATGAGTCTACTAACACTGATACCAAATTAGGAGCCTCCTACGAGAAAAAAGCGTAAGAGACCTGGTTATATGTTCGGACGCGGAATGTCTTATTGATGCGTATACAGGGACTAGAAAGGTTGTAGACGACAGTGATGAGGAAGAAGTTGTCGCTACCAAGTCCGTAAGCCCGAAGGTGAAGGCTCCGAGCAAGCCGTATGTCTGCCCCAATGCGACTCCACCCGCTGTCGTTTACTGACAATTACTCAGACAGCCAGAAGTATCGAAGGGTGAACCCACAACTTCGTCAGACTATTTCGCATCTAGCAAGAAGAGAGGCAGGCCAGCCAAGGAGACCAAGACATCTCAGCCTGCTGTCACCGACGAACCCGAAGCGAAGCCATCTCCGAAACCGAAAAAGTCTACGAGCACCGAAAAACCTGCACCAAGACCTCAACGCGGTACACGAAAGGCTACCACAGTCGTTGACGACGATGAACTCGGTGGCGATGATATCCATGCGACAGAGTACAAGAAAACAGGCAAGGGGGATGATGATTATGTCGAGGAAGAGGATAAGGAGAGTGACAGTGACTTTGAGGAACTTGCGGTAAAGCCGGCTAGTGCCGCCTCTGGAAGACAGGGACGTAAGAAGGCGGCAACTGCTGAATCGGATGAGGATGTGGTAATGGAGGACCTGCCAAAGCGACCTTCCAGGGCTGCCAAGTCAGCCGCCACTCAGCCAGCGCGCAAACGCAAATCCGAAGTTCTCGAGAAGGACGAGGACTACGACTCCAAAACTAGTCCTAAGAAGGCCGCGCAGACGAAAGCCGCTCCCCGTACCCCTAAGAAGCCAAGGGCGTCTACCAAAACCGATCGACCTGAAAGCAAGGAGATTCAGGATATATTCGACAGCATCCCTACGATCAGACCACCCTCTCCTCCGCGCGAGACTGGTGAAAAGGCCAAATTTAACTACGCTGCTCACGCACAGCGCTCGCGGTCACCAGTAGCTGGAGGGGCGGACATACCAGAGGGAGCGGAAAATTGTCTTGCAGGGCTCTCCTTTGTTTTCACTGGTGTCTTGGACACACTCGGCCGCGACGAAGGACAAAACTTGGTCAAGAAGTATGGCGGTAAAGTTACTGGAGCCCCTAGTTCCAAAACCAGCTATGTTGTTCTGGGAGCGGATGCCGGACCTAAAAAGCTGGCAACGATTAAGCAGCACAATCTAAAGACAATTAACGAGGAAGGACTTTTCGAGCTTATTCGACGACTTCCAGCCAATGGTGGAGATGGGAAGGCAGCAGAGCAACATGAGGCGAAAAAGAAAGCAGAAGAAGAAAAGATTCGCGCGATGGCCGCTGAGATCGACCGCGAAGAAAAGCGCAAGGCGGCGGCTACGCGTAACACTGCTCCCTCAGGGCCTCAACCGCCATCAAGTTCGCAAAGTACGACGCAAAGCACGAAGACTGACGACCGCCTGTGGACCACCAAATATGCGCCGACATCGATGAATATGATTTGTGGTAATAAAGGTGTTGTCGAGAAACTACAGAATTGGCTTCGCGACTGGCATAAGAATGCCAAGGCTGGATTCAACAAGCCAGGGAAGGATGGGTCAGGGATGTATCGCTCTGTCATGATTCACGGACCGCCTGGAATTGGCAAGACCACTGCAGCACACCTGGTGGCAAAGCTAGAAGGATACGATGTCGTGGAGACGAATGCAAGTGACACAAGAAGCAAGAAGCTCGTTGAGAATGGCCTTCTCGGTGTTTTGGACACGACTTCGCTGCAAGGCTACTTTTCGGGTGTTGGGAAGAAGGTGGAGAGTGCGAAGAAGAATTTGGTCCTCATTATGGATGAAGTTGACGGAATGTCCGCTGGTGATAGAGGTGGTGTGGGAGCACTCGCCTCAATCGCCAAGAAGACTCACATCCCGCTGATTTTGATTTGTAACGAGCGAAGGCTCCCGAAAATGAAGCCTTTCGATCATGTCACATATGAACTTCCGTTCAGGAGACCGACAGCCGAACAGATTAGAGCCCGACTGTCGACCATCTGCTTCCGCGAGGGCTTGAGGATCCCGCCTCAGGTCTTAGACAGCCTTATTGAAGGCACCAACGCGGACATCCGGCAAGTGATCAACATGCTTTCAACCGTCAAATTAGACCAGACAAACCTAGACTTCGAGAAGGGGAAGCAAATGTCCAAAGCATGGGAAAAGCACATCGTTCTAAAGCCGTGGGATATCGTCGGCAAGATCCTCAGTGCGCAAATGTTCTCGCCAAGCTCCAAGGCTACTTTAAATGATAAGATCGAACTCTACTTCAATGATCACGAATTCAGCCCCCTGATGCTTCAGGAGAACTACCTGAAAACACGACCGGCGTTAGCGGGCGCATATCATGGCAGAGAACAAAAGCTGAAACAGCTTGAACTAATGGACAACGCCGCTTCGAGTATCAGTGATGGTGATCTCGTTGACAGGATGATTCATGGTACTCAGCAGCAATGGAGTCTGATGCCTACCCATGCGGTGTTCAGTTTTGTGAGACCGGCGAGCTTTACGTACGGAAACATGATGGAGCGGCCCGGGTTTACTAGTTGGTTGGGACAGAACAGTAAACAAGGTATGTGCGATCTGTTTGGATATCAAAATTTGCACAGCTAACACCGGTTATAGGCAAGCTTTGGCGTTACATCAAAGAAATTCAGGGCCATATGCGTCTTCGCGCATCTGGAGATAGAGATGAGATTCGACAACAGTATATGCCGCTCCTTTGGGACAGGCTAGTCCGCCGACTAATGGTTGAAGGTAAGGATAGCGTCGACGATGTTATTGATTTCATGGACAGCTATTTCCTTACGCGCGAGGATTGGGATGCCTTGGTAGAACTTGGGCTGGGACCTATGGATGAATCCAATGTGAAGCTGCAGACACAGACGAAAGCAGCATTCACGCGGATCTACAACCAGCGCTCCCACCCTCTTCCATTCATCAAGGCCAGCAGTATTGCTGCTCCCAAAAAGATGCCGAAGGAGAAGCCTGACATTGAAGATGCCATTGAGGAATCGGATGAAGAAGAGGTACTCGAAGACGACTCGAAGGACAATGACGAGAGCGAAGAGCTTGATTTGAAGAAGGACAAGTATGTTCGCGTGCCCAAGAAAGCTGCGAAGGGTGGAGCGGCCAAAGGAAGGAAATCGAAGAAGGCAGCAGCGGGCGACGATGATTTCATCGATGACGAGGAAGAGAAGCCCAAGAAGGCTCGAGGCCGGAAGCCAAAGGCCAAATGATTCTAGAAATCGGGAGAGCGACGGAGTCGTGACCTCCAATTATGTTCATGTATCATCAGTTCTGTTAGTATAATGAGCGGGCTACTAGCGATGTCACCATCAGCAGTGGATGATGATTGTCTTTATGTGATTTCCACCGAATTATTTGGAATAAAAAACCCCAATTGTATAGTCGACCACAGTGAAGGAATCCAGAGGCGTGTTGTGATGTTGTTATGAAGAGAGAGTGTGTCTCGTATACTGGGTAGTACCCCGCATCTATCTATCGCCGGGACCAAGAGTTACACACAAATAGAGAGTAGCAGGTACCGGGGTGAATTGAACATTAAGCCATGCCCCTCGGTGGTTAGTTTGCCTTGCATAGACTAACTGTGTAAAGATAAGGGAATCAGGAACCCACCCCTTGGGCCGGACAGCCGGACAAAGGAGAGTTGGTGTCAGAGGAAGAAGAAGTGCAGGCGGGAAAATGGCGGCGGTGCGGAGATGGGCCACGGGATCTCCAGGCCCATCTTCTGCCCGCGACGGCTGAGCCTGCAGTGCTTTTGATCCCCACACAACCTCATCGCCGGAGGACGTCTTCCTCGTACCTTTGCTGCTTATCCCTCATTTCGTACCATCAGGCTGGTCCTGAATCAACATCACACGGTCGCTCTCTTTTCCTACTTCTTCTTCGGCCTGCTCCAGTTCAGCGCATCCATCCATTTCCCCTTGTTGCACCAGCCCGGAGATCATGCCCACTCGAACCCCGACAGCGGTTTCGCTTCCCCTGGCGTAAATGCTCGTTCTTCGTGATTGCAACGAGGCCTACTCTATCTCTTATTACTCATCTTTTTTCTTGCAGCGATTGTAACCATGTCTCTTCTTCACAATGAAGAGTAGGTGTTTGACCCCGCGACCATCTCGCGTCCCCCCCCCCTCCCCTCATCTTGCCCGGGAATCGCACACATGCAGTGTTGAGCCAACAACTAACCCAAACCCAGTTTCACAATCTGGCAGTTGCGCACCTCCTACCTGTCGACCATAAAAGACGGCATAGGTGACAGGCTTATCAACGTGAACAATACTGTGCTCAACACACCAGGATTCCGCGCAGCTGGCTGGTCTTCGGCTTCTACAAACCCCAATACGCAGAGCGCGGCTGCCCACATTAAACGTACAAATTCGCCCCCGATTCCTACTACTACGGCGGTTACCTCGGAATACTACCAGCTGGGTGTTGCCCGAGACGATGCGCAGAGA